ACCTATTTCTTCCCAAGGACTTTAGCTCCAACTGTCTAATTTGAGAGCCTCTGGCTGACGCCAGTAGTCCTCGCTCTACACACCATCCTGTATTCATCCAGTAGTGCGTGATGTGTCCTGGGTGCCAGTGTTGGTGTGTACCCCCTGAGTCAGCCACTCTAGGGGGTTCCACATAGCAGCTGCCCCACCCTCTCCTGGTTTGTACTGCCCTGATATCACTATAAACAGAATTCTTTTTTTTTTTTTAAAGATTTATTTATTTATACAAGAACCTGGGTACAGGCCAGATGTGCGGGAGGGTGAGAGGATTTACCAGAGACAGAGCGGGGAACGGAACAGGCAGACTGACTGAAATACACTGCTGAGGGAAACAGCAGGCGAGACAGGAGAGGGATTCTCTGCCGCGCCATGTGGGATTCTCGCCGGCCAGCCAGTATCGAACCCACGCTGCAGAGGTTGCGGAAAACTTCACAGTGTGGCGCTCAACCTCCTGCACCACCGGGGAGGCCCCAGAATTCCTTTTTTATAAAAAGATTTATTCATTTATGCATACAAGAACTGAGGTACAAGCCAGAGGTGAGAGGGGAATGAGAGGATTCACCAGATACAGAGTGGGGAGCAGAACAGGCGGATTAATTGAAATACACTGCTGAGGGGAGCAGTGGGTGAGACAGGAGAGGTCTGCTGAGCCATGTGGGTTAATTCGTGCTGCAGTGGCTGCAGATTGTTTCATAGTGCTGAGACCTAACCCCTTGCACCACCAGGAGGCCCTAAACAGAATTCACTGAAAGTTTTCCCACCCTTTTCCACTGGGCTGTTACTCTTTGTGTGTGCTTTGGACATCCATTTTTCCTTCAGGGTTTTTGGGGTTTGTTTTGCTCCTGTCTAGTTGTAAGGATAGGGAGGGGGCAAGCCCGAGGTATTCACTGCCACCATCTTGCTGGATTCCAGGGTTTGCCTTTTTATCTTTTTCATGTCCTAGAGCGACAGATACTTTAAGATAAAGCCAGTCCCTTGTCCCTTGGGAGGAAAAAACACATCCCATTACTATTCCTACTGTAGTCTCAGTTATCCATACTGATCATAACTTTTTTTTTAAAGATTTATTTATTTATTTATACAAGCACTGGGTACAGTCAGAAGCGCGGGAGGGTGAGAGAATTCACCAGAGTCAGAGCAGGGAGCAGAGCAGGCAGAATGATGAAGTACACTGCTGAGGGGAGCAGCGGGCGGCAGGAGAGGTCTGCGCACCATGTGGGACCTTCGTCGGTGGCCGGGGATCGAACTGGAGCTGCAGAGGCTGTGGGCAACTTCGCAGCCCAGCGCTCAACCTCTGTGCCACCAGGGAGGCCCTGATTATAACTTTTAACCAAAGCACATATTCTGGTTTCTTTTCCAGTCATATAAATCTTTTGCCTTTTGCCAAAGTAACTTTTATTTTGCAGAAAGAGCTGGAGCATTAATTATTGAGAATTGCATTTCTTATGTAAGTATTTTAGCAGACTAACGAAATTCACAAATACAGATAAAACAACTTTCTATCCCATGCCCATCTCTTTTAAAAAGTTGCTAAAATAGGGGCCTCCCTGGTGGCACAAGGGGTTAGGCATCAGCACTATGAAGCTGTCCGCAACTAGGGCAGCACAAGTTCGATCCCTGGCCAAGGAAGTGACCCACATGGTGCAGCAGACCTCTCCTTTCTTGCCCGCTGCTCCCCTCAGCAGAGTATTTCAGTGGATCTGCCTGTTCCGTTCCCCACTCTGTCTCTGGTGAGCCCTCTTACCCCCTGTACTTCTGACCTATACCCCAGTTCTTGTATGCATTAATAAAAACAAATCTTCTTAAAAATTGATAAAATATACATAACATAAAATTTACCATTTTAACCATCTTTACATGTACAGGTCAGTAGGTGCTAAGCACATTCACAATGTTATACAACCATAACTACCATCCATAGCTAGAATAATCATCTTTGCAATTGAGGTTCTGCACTCATTACACACTGATGCCCATTCTCCTATGCCCCCTGCCCCAGCAACGCCAATTCTACTTTCTGTTTCTATGAAACAGAAAGTTGACTACTTTAGGTAACTCATATAAGCAGAATCATACATTGTTTGTCTTTTGTGTGACTGGTTTATTTCACTTAACATAATTTTCTCAATGTTCATCCATGCTGTAGTAGCATCAATCAGGATTTCCTTCCTTTTTAAAGGCTGAATAATATTCCATCATGTGTATATAGCATGTTTTGTCTATCCATTCATCAATCACTGGAAATTTGCATTGTTCTCATCTTCTAGATTTTGCGAATAGTGCTAGGAACATAAGTGTGCAAATATCTACTCTAGCCTTCTCCCTTGCACAACTATTTAAAGTGGCAGAAATTAATTCACTCATTAACATGAGCCATTGATATAACTGTTCTCTAGCATGTAAAAATAAAGAGTAAAAGGGCATACATTTAAATTTGGCTTAGTAATCAATGTTTCAGTATAATTTTTTCCTGAGAAATTATTCATGTAGCCAGAGTGATTTATTGTTTAATTTAATGTATTGATTCAGGTTTTAAAGTTACTTAAGGGTCTTGGAGTTGTGTTTAAGGTGACACTCTATAAAATATAAATACTCTTGATACAAACTTTGTTAAAATAATGAATTTATTTAGTTGAACACAAATTTGCATTTTTATAATCTTAAAGGATTATATTGGTTTATTTGATCAGTAAGATAAAATGAGAAGTGTAGGAAATTCATATTAACATGTTCCTTCACAAAGAGCAAATCCAAATTTTATAAAAAGTAGAATGCTTATGTGTCATATACTTTAAGAAGGCAGAGAAAACATGGATAGCTATTTTTTTGTGTTTTGCAATCCAAAATTATAAAACCAGCCTCATTTGTCTACAGATTCACCTTAATTATACAAGTCTGGTTCCTTAAAAGTTTTTCTTGTAAGGGGGGGATTTGTTTGTTTGTTTGTTTAGCACATTTAAAGTATTAAAATGTCAGTTTCTTTTCTGTGACTTGGAGCAACATTAGATTTATGTAAGCATTTATTTATCTCTACAAACCAACCTGTAAATCCTTTAAGAGATGTAGTATTGTCAGCTATCTATGCCGTCCAGATGTAGAAAAAAACTTCATGCTCACAATGAGTTAAAGCCTTTTTGAATTACAGACACGTAATGTCTGACTTCATTTCATTCCTTCAACTCTAGTCATACATCAAAAGTAAACACAGAAACATAAAACTCACCAATCCAGAGCTCACAGAGCTGTTCTTCTTCCCAGTGGGTACAAAATTCTTAACTAACCTGAGGTCACACAAAGGAAAACAAACACTGCCACCACCTCCAAAAAAACATTAACAAACCAGATTCTCTGCTGTTTCTCAGCCAACAGACACCATGTCCCCATCATGCACCCCACAGAGATCACCAAATGGTCAGACCATCACTGAATTCCCCATCCAAAATGACTGCTGCCTGCTGCCACTGGGCCTCCCTTGTGGTCTAGGGTTAAGTCTCAGGGCTATCACCATTGTGACCTGGGTTCGATCCCCAGCCAGGGAGCTACCCACATGGTGCAGCAGACCTCTCCTGTCTCGCCCGCTGCTCCCCTCAGCAGTGTAATTCAGTAGATCTGCCTGTTCTGTTCCCCACTCTGACTCAGTGAGTCCTCTCACCCCCTGCTCTGCACCTTTCACCTATATCCCAGTTCTCCTATGCAAAAATAAAAGTTAAAAAAAAAATTAAAACAAAAATCAAAATGACTTGCCACCAAAACTGAAACACCAACTTGGCAAAGAAAAAAATAAAATACAGAGAGTCAGCAAATGTGTTCTATATATTTGGAATTCCCTCCAGAGCCAAAAAAAAAAGAGGTGTCTGGTCAAAAAGAGCCCATGAGGTGCACTTCTCCAGGGATGCAGGTGATTTGGTTCTGACAGCTGATCCCAGGACATCTCCATGGCCCCTCCAAAATAATTAACATATACTTTCAAAAAGGTAAAATCATGACTGTTAGGCAAAACCTGTGATTAATCCATATCAAAGGTTTTATTTATTTATTTATTTTAGATTTTATTTATTTTTAAAAAAGATTTATTTATTCATGCAATCAAAAACTGGGGTACAGGCCAGATGCATGGGAGGGTGAGAGGATTCACCAGAGACAGAGCGGGGAACAGAACAGGCAGACTGACTGAAATACACTGCTGAGGGGAGCAGTGGGTGAGGCAGGAGAGGTCCGCCATGCCATGTGGGTATCTCCCTGGCCGGCCAGGATCAAAGCGGCGCTGCAGAGGCTGTGGACAACTCCAGAGCACTGCGCTCAACTGCCTGCTCTACCAGGGAGGCCCCAAAGTTTTTATTTAACTCATTCATTAATGAGAGATGCTATGAAAGCAATTATAAAGCTAGGTAATTTAAGAAAAAAAATGTTAGAATCCAATTGCTGAGTTGTATTTTAAAGGTTGGCTAATGCCCAAGAGGCCATAAATTGGGGTTATTCCTTCAATCAGAAAAATTAACTACATCTCTCCTGGACAAAGTACGCAAGTTAACATATGATTTTACCTAGCCTGGGACCTTGAATGAGTCCCCTGACATGAATTAAGTACATCCCTACAGTCTAGAAGATACCTGGGGGGCCTTTGTCCTGTAGAATACTGAAGGACCTGCTGAGAAAAACTTTTGGACTTATGTTCAAGTTCCAGATAATTTGGTCACTGATAAGCACATTTTGGGGAGCATTAGCTGCTGTCTAGGTCTTGTGTCCTCATCTATTAGTTAGGAACTTAAAGGGATGGGATTTAGAGCAGCTAAGTTTAATGTTAAATGGAGAAGTTCAAGGCTTTTCTGAGAAGGCTGTCTTGGATGGGGGTGGGACCCCAAACTGTGGGGGTGGAGGTTGAAGTGACTACAGATAAACACCTCCCCTAGAACAGAACCTTCCCCAGTGGAAACAAATCTCAACTCCTCCCTCCCTTGCAGATGGCCAAGTTCAGCTTCCTGAGCAGCGAGGAGGAGCCAGAGATGATCTTTGACTGGGTGGACACGGAGCGGAAGGGACATCTCTCCCTGGAAGAATTCAGCACTGGGCTCAGTATGCCTGTTCTGGAAGGGCCCCTTGGGTCCTGCTGCACACAGCACCCCATCATTGGGCCCAGTGTGGGACTAGGCTGGGCTGACAGGGGAGTGATACCTTTGCTGACCAGCAGACTTTTTTTTTTTTTAAAGATTTATTTTATTTATTTATGCATGAAAGAACTGGGGTACAGACTAGAGGTGCTAGGGTGAGAGGATTCACCAGAAACAGAGTGGGGAGCAGAACAGGCAGACTGACTGAAATACACTGCTGAGGGGAGCAGTGGGTGAGTCAGGAGAGGTCTGCTGTGCCATGTAGGTAGCTCCCTGGCTGGGGTTCGAACTTGTGCTGCAGTGACTGCTGATAGCTTCATAGTGCTACCTCTTAACCCCTTGCACCACCAGGGAGGCTCTTTTCTTTTTTCTTTTTCTTTTTTAATAAAGATTTATTTATTTATTTGTACAAGCACTGAGTACAGTCAGAAGCACAGGAGGATGAGAGAATTCACCAGAGCCAGAGTGGAGAGCAGAACAGGCAGACTGACAAAGTACACTGCTGAGGGGAGCAGTGGGTGGCAGGAGAGGTCTGTGCGCCATGTGGGACCCTCACCTGGCGGCCGGTCATTGAACCGGCGCTGCAGAGGCTGTGGGCAGCTTCGCAGCCCAGCGCTCAACCGCTGAGCCACCGGGGAGGCCCAAGGGAGACTCTTTATACAGCACTTCAGGGCCTGAAGTAATTCAGGGCCTGGAGGCTAATAGATTGCTGTAGAGATGAGGACACAAGGCCTAGATGGGGAAAGCAGCTGTTTCCGAGAGAAGCTGGGCGGGGTAAGACTCTAGCCCAGGAAATCTGCTCATTTCTTTTCCTACCAATGAGGGAAGTTCCTTTACTGGGGACCCCTGAGCAGCCCTCCCCACCAGGCTTACTTCTTGATGCCTCCCTTGTCTTCTCCCTGATACTTGAGCGAGAGGTTAAGGGCCTCTCATTGTTGAGACCCCAGGCCTTGTTTCTGCCTGAGGAACTTCCCACTCTAGCTTGGTGAAAGGAATTCTAGCCCCAGGGAGCAGTGGGGGGTAATTCTAGTGTGTGGACTTCCCCCGGTCCTGAGCCTCCACTGGGCAGGGCACTCTAATACCCACTTCTCAAGACAGGCTCAAAGGGACATAGAAGGACCAGGGCCAGTGGTGGTTGATACTCTCCTGATTTTCTCAGTAGGGAGGAGCTTCCGGCCCAGGGAATGGAGGGCTTGGTGTCCTTCAGAGTCCCAGAAAAGCATAGCTTAGCCTTAAATCTGCAAAGTCAATCAGTGTTCTCAGGGTCTGCTGAGTCTCCAAAAGTTTGGGGGGAAATAGAAGAAGGAGGTCAGGAATCTATATTTTTAGCTTGGGGCCACATTAGGAGGTAGCTATGGTTCTGTTAATTGAGAAGCTGAGAGTAAGGGAGGAGGAATCGGGGCCTGGAATGGGAGTGGAAGAGGCACAGGGAACTCTGTTTTCAAACGGCCCCAAGGGGCCATCTAATTGTGCCCACCACGTCAATGCCTGTGGGACACAGTCCAAAGCCCTCCCCAGGGCCTCGAGGGCTGCAACATTCAAATTCTGCCAACCTCTTAGCCTCCTTCAGTGCTACTTACCCTGCAGTGTACCAGGCTGGTCCTTACCTCAGGGCCTTTGCATGTACTGTTCTCTCTGCCTGGGATGTGCTTCCCTAGAAATACATACTACTTGCTTCTTGTTACTCACATCTCAGTTCCAATATCACCTCCTTGGGACACTCTTGGCTACTCCAGTCTACTCAGTGAAAATTTATTCTTTTAGCTCACTTAGCAAATTTACTTTTTAAAAATATGTTATTTACACATTTTTTAATGTGAGCTCCACCAGGGCAGGAATTTTGGCCAATTTTTGCCCCAGCACCTAGTAGATGCTCAATAAATATCTTATGACTGAGTGAATGAAGAATCTTTTGGCCACCACGGAGTTGCTGTGTGACTTCCATCTAGCCATTTGGCCTCTCTGAGTCTCTGATGTTCATTTATAAAATGGGCACAGTGTCTACCTTAACTAGATTCCCAAGAATGAGATGAAGAAGGGATGAACATGGCCCTGTATAAATGTGATAGACGTAGGGCCTCCCCGGTGGCGCAGCGGTTGAGTGCTGGGCTGCGAAGCTGCCCGCAGCCTCTGCAGCACCAGTTCAATCCCCGGCTGCAGGGCGAGGGTCCCACATGGCGCGCAGACCTCGCCTGCTGCCCGCTGCTCCCCTCAGCAGTGTACTTCGTCCGTCTGCCTGTTCTGCTCCCTGCTCTGGCTCTGGTGAATTCTCTCACCCTCCCGCGCTTCTGACTGTACCCAGTGCTTGTGTAAATAAATAAATAAATATAAAAAAATAAAATAAAATAAATGTGATAGACGTAGACATAATTGCTTCTCCAAATGCTGGGATAGGGCAGTGTGGGAGGTGAGAAAGCTGGACCCAAACCTATTCTTCTCCCTTCTGCCCCACTGTCCCACAGGGAACATCTTTGGCTCCAACCCCAGTACCCACAGGCTTCGCAGAAGGAAGCCAACCTCCTCCAAGCGAGGATCCATGACCACCAGCCTCCCAGTGCTGGAGGAGGCCAATCTCCAGGAGAAGGAACAGTTCTTTGCCTTCATGGAGCAGCTGGGGCCCAGCCACTTACTCCCTGAGTAAGAGCAGTATTGTGTGTGTTGGGGCCAGGTGTGGGGGTGGCACTGCCAGCCATTGGGAGAGAGGACTCACCAGACATGGTGCCGAGGTAGGACACCACAAGGTAGAGCTGGGCCCAGGTTCTGATTTGGCCACTTGTTAGCTGTGTGAGCGAACTGACCTCTGTATCTCTGGCTTTAGAGAGAACATTAGAGCGGCAGTGGGATTAAGCCATGTATGGAGAATGCCTGCCAATGAGGCCATCTTCCCAGCCCACCCCAAACCTCCCTGTCTATTCTGTAGGATCATTAGCAAGTCAGGGTGTCAGTCTCCCATGAGAATGTCTTTATGGACAAAAAGAGTCCCCCTCCCCCCATGCAGTGATTTCAGACCCGGTGATGCTCTCAGTTGAGCATGTTTGGAGACAGGAGGGCATTTCCTACAGACTGTTTCAGGCTTTGAGATCATGGGATTCCCTCATGCTCAGAGAAGAGGGCCCCAAAATTGGCCTGTGACATCCCTCATGCAGCAAGGGAATCATCCATTAGCCCAGGCTCACCCATCGGCAGGGTGCTGTGAGGACAGGCTCTTCGAGGGTGTGGCCAGTGTTGTGGGGCAGGCAGGGTGGGACTTAGGGTACAGGCCGGCGGGGCAGGTGTGGAGGGAGCCATTTACCCACTTGGCAGCCTGGGTTGGCTCAGCCCTCTGGCATCTGTCTTCATGACTTAATTAGACCCGTGTGAAAGCAGCATTTATCGAGTGCCAGCCATGTGCCAGGCCCCAAGCTGTGCTTTCATTAGGCATGTCTCTCATTCTCTAGCAACCTTGCTGGGCAGTTATCAGCCTCTATATTTTACTAATAAGCTCAGAGAGGGCATGAGCCTTGCTGAGGGTCACACAGCTACAAGTGGGAGAAGAGAAAAGACGAGATGGAAACACTGGACAATCTGGCTCCCATGTCCCCCCCAACCCTACAATTAATCACTGAACCATAGAGAGACAAAATGTTTGGGGGTTTCAAGAAGGGAGAGAGCAGCCTAGAGGAGGTGACATTTGAGTTGCTCCTCGTAGGGTGTGAAATAGACGTTGTGGCTCAGGGGTTTCTTGTAGTACTGCGTTAAAACCAAGGATTAGGCTGTCCCTGCTTCCTGATCCTACCTCATGTCTAATTGCTGGCTACTCCCCCTCCAGGCAGGCAGAGATCTGGCAGCTCTGGGGGAAGCTGCGGCAGGAGGAGCCCCAGCAGGCTGGCAACCTGGAGGGCTTTCTGGCCAAGATGAACAGCCGCCTGCAGGAGGTGCGGGCCGACAAGGAGGTTCTGGAGCTGACATTGAGGAAGTGAGTAGGTGCCAGGGGCCTTGCCTCCCACTGCGAGAAGGCCAGGGGGTCTTTATTTTTAATTTTTTAAAAATATTTATTTATTTATGCATACAAGAACTGGGGTACAGGCCAGAGGTGCGAGTGGTGAGAATATTCACCAGAGACAGAGTGGGGAACAGAACAGGTGGATCTACTGAAATATACTGCTGAGGGGAGCAGCGGGTGAGACAGGAGAGGTCTGCTGCACCATGTGGGTTGCTCCCTGGCTGGCTGGGGATTGAATTTGTGCTGCAAAGGCTGCGGATAGCTTCACTGTGCTGTGCTTAACCCCTTGCACCATCAGGGAGGCCAGGGGTCTTTACACCAGGTGTAAAGAAAAGGATCTTCTTTACATTTTCCTTGAATCTGAATTGAATTCCCCAGGTTCCAGAAGAGCAGAGGCCAGGGCCTCACAGCAGCCTGGAAACTGGAGAGTCAGGGCTCTGGGAGGCCGGTAGGGAGGATGGTGTTGGGCCTGTAGTGGGAGTGGGAATGGCAAGTGTACTTTGGTGCAGGGCCACTGCAGTGGTCAACTCTAGGGGTGCCACTCATGTAGATTACAACACAAGTGGTGACCCTGGGGTTGGTGTGGGTAGAGCCCTATTGGGGTGTCTGAGTTATGGGATGAGGGGATGAATGGGGACTACGTGACAGGTCCAGGGGAACCAATATCTTGTGATAGTTTTCAGAGTCAGTCTAACAGGATCAGGGCAACCAGTGTCAAAGGCACGTGTCTCTGTTAGTGGTGGCTGTTCTTAGATGACACGGATGAGTGACGGCTGGCAAAGTGATGTGAGCAGCAGGGTGACTCCATATCAAAGCCTAGACAACACCTGCCAGAGACAGAATCCCAGGGTGCTGATGAGCCGCCTGCCCACCCTCCCTGCTGTGCCCCTTCCAGGCGGGATGCCGACCACCAGCGCGAGGTCCAGCAGCTTTATGAGGAGATGGAGCAGCAGATCAGTCAAGAGAAGCAGCAACTGCAGGCTGAGGTGGGTTCCCCTGCGGCCTGCCCCCAACCACCTGTCCTGGAGGGCGGCTGGCTAAGCAGTGCAGTCCAGGAATGGCCTGTGTGGCGCAGCAGGCACTGGGAGTGGAGCCTCCCACACCCTTGCCCAGTGTTTCTCACAGATATGCGGAGGGGTGGGGATGGCGGGGGGTTGGTGAGCATGGAGTGCTGCTCCTGGGTCCCTGTTGTTTACCCAGGTCTTGCTGTGTGCCCTGGAGTCAGTTCTGCTCTCTCTGCACCTCAGTCTCCTTGTTGCCACAATTAGGCCTGGGGTGCAGGGGCCAGGGGGATTGTCCTGAGGACTATCCTGGTCCCTGCACTCCAGGCCTCCGTGGAGGCGAAGCTTAAGGAGGGCCGGCCCAGCTGGGTCTCAGCTTCTGCAAACAGGCTGAAACGTCTCTGGTCCCCAGAGCCACTCGCGGAGCCTGGCCCTCGACTCCCAGATGCAAGAGGCCCTGGAGGCCAAGGAACGTGAGGTGCAGCAGCTGGCTGAGGGCCAGAGGGAGGTGAGTGACAGCCCTTCCCCAGGAGCCTAATTTCTGAGAATTCACAGACTCTGATACCTGTCTCCTTGCATCCACCTGAAGTGCCCTTTGCACCTGACTAGATAAGTCTATCTGGAGCCATCAGCCTAGCCCTGAGGATTCAGTGGGCTGCTGGGGTCCCCACGTGAGAGTAACTTCCCAGGGGCCTCTCAGGGTGCCTTGGTCCCTTTGAGATGAGGCCAAGCAGTGCACTGAGAGTACCAGAGCATGAGCCAGAAAGTACAGGTTCAAAGCTCTGCTGTTCTAGTTAAGAGCCATGTCAATCTGAGGAAATTGCTTTGCATGTCCTGGCCCCTGTTGCTTTGCATGTCCTGGCCTCCATCTTTAAAATGGGGATGGTCACATCAACTGTACCTTCCAGCCCAATTTTGTCAAATGAGATTGTAAAGAGAAAGCACTTTGAAACAGGAAAGCACCAGGTAAATGAAGAAAATAATTTTAGCTACTGAGTGTCAGAGGACATGAGATACAGAAGAAAAAAAACAAACAAATAAAAGAAAGAACAAGGAGAAATTTTTTTTAAGTGCCAAAAAAGAGATAATAGAACAGGATGATTTGATACACACAAACACAGAGAAATGGTTCCTGCAATCAAACTAATTAATATGCCTATCTCCTCACTTATTTTCCTCTATATCTTACAGAAAACAAAAGATATTTCTTATCTTAAGTCCTTAATTTTTTATAAAAGATTGTCTTCTCAGTACATTATTTCCTTCCTTTATTAATTTCAAAAAATTTTAAGGAAAAAACCCCCACAATGCTCACCTCCATTGTCAGCTGAGGGGACTTGAGCAAGGTTTTAAGCTCCCGAGTCCTGTTTTCCTCATCAGAGAGAATTCCAAGCAGCTGTGATGCTTAGCACTATAACATGTGAAGGCCTGAGGCAGTCACTACTGTCACTGTTTCCGAATCTGAATCCGGCTTAGCTTCCCAGTCAGAACACCCCAGGCCTTGTTGCCTGTAGTCACTTGCAGTTGGCATTGTGACTAAACCTTTGGGTCTGAAACCCTGCCCCACAGTCTCCTCTTCCTCCTCACCTCCAGACCGCTGATCTTAGTAAAATCTCCATCTGTTCTAGCCGGACAACCAGCACCCCTCCAGCGCTAGCCCAGGTTCCCAGCACCTTTCCCTTGTTGCCAGGGCGATCCTGTCACCCAGCTCCACCCACCCCTCTGGGCTGATTTCCCAGGTGTCTCTGCAGCCACTGCTTTGTGGAAATTGAGGCAGGCCCCTTCTACCAAGGGAGGAGACTGGCCTTTCCAAATAGGGCCATTTTGTTTTGCCCTGTTTCCTGTGGATGGGAAGCCTCTTCCCCAGGCTGTTCATCCCTTTACCCAGCAAGATTTGTGGTGTACCTACTCTGTAGCAGGCACTGTTCTCAGTTCTGGTAGACACAAGCCCATGGAGCCTCTGCCCATGGAGCTGCTGTCTGCTCAGGGAGTCCAGGGATAAAATAAGCAATCGCTACCTACAAGGGGTAGGGAACATACTAAGGAGAAAAAAGTAAAGCAGGGCTGGGGAGATGGAATTGTTAGGGGGGAGTTGAAATGTTTCCACTTGGGGGTCAAGAAAGGCTTCTCTCGGGTGATGATATTGGAGTAAAGATCAGAAGGAGTCGAGGGGTGAACCACATGATATCTGAGGGAAGAGCAGTTCAGGCAGAGGGAACAGCCAGTGCAAAGGCCCTGAAGTGGGAATGCCTGAATGGTCAAAGAGTGGCAAGGAGACCTGTGGGCTAGAGCTGACTAAAGAGGGTAGGGGGGTGAAAGGAGGTAGGAGATAAAATGGCGATACTGTAGGGAAATGCTGAAGAGCCCTTGTGAACCACAGAGGCCTTGTGAGGCTTTGCCGTCCACTCCACATGCTCAAGCAGCTCTGCCTCCCACCGAGAGCCACATGTGACTTGCTGTTGGATCAGGAGACCACAGTGGGCTCGGGGCTGAGCAGCTGCTGCAGGGCTTTGAACAAAAGGGAATGTGGCCTCATTTATGTTTTGGACCCCATGGTGCTGGCGGTGTGTGTTTCTCACACAGCTCTCTCTCTCTCCTCCCTACCCCTTCAATTCAAATGTCTCTCCTAGGTGGGAGGTAGTGGAGTTGATTGGGCCGAAGAAGGGTAACCCTCCCCCAACCCTGCGTTTTACTCTGGATCTCCAGGAACATGGAGTCTGCCCCCCACAATAACCTTGAGAGGCTGTTCAAGGCCCTGGAGGGGTCCTCTCATGCTCAGCCCTCTTCTCCCACCATTTCTTCCCTCCTTGCAGCTGGAGGCCCAGCTCCACAGCCTCAGCAGCACAAACCTGGAGGCCAACTCCGAGAATCAGCAGCTTCGAGAGGCTGAGCGGGACCTGGTGGGGCAGCTGGAGGAAGTGCAAGGGCAGTTGCGGGAGACCAGGGGGCACCTGCGTGCCGCCAGGGGACTTGTGTCCTGGGACACGGAAGAGGAACCGAGGCAAGTGACTGCCATTCTTGGGCTGGAGACCAAGGGGGTCCTGGAAGACAGGAAAGGCTGAGTTCTCTGAGGCTTTGGTCAGCACCCAGATCACAGTGTCCCTCCTTAAAATTCATCACAACCCTGCCAGCCTGGGGTTATCATGTCATTTCTCAGATAAGGAAACTGAGGCACAGAGAGGGAGAAGTCATGTCTTTGGGATGTTGTTAAAACATAGAGGCGTGGGATGGGACAGAAAGGGAAGGCTTCCTGGAGGAGTTGAGGCTTCATATAGTTCTTGAAGAATCAGCAGGATTGGATGAGGGGGAGAAGGAGGGAGCACTTGCTGGGTGGGAAGAGTTACCTGAGCAAAGACAGGAAAGAAGGGCCAGCTTCAAGGTATGCAATCAAAGGTAAGGGATGCAGGTGGGATTGGTATGCCCTCTACCTTCTCCTCCCCTGACTTTACCACCCCACATCCTTTCTAGCATCCCCAGAGCAGGTGAGAAGGCTCTGGACCCTCAGACAGTCTCCCCTGAGGAGGCCCCTCTGCCAGGGCTGTTTGGGGACAACGATGATTGGGACCATCTCCTGAGCAGATTCAGCAGCCCCCCACACAGAGGCCTGCAGATCTCCTGGAGCCCACCCCCAACCCCGAGTTCCTACTCAGGCCCTCAAACGCCCCGAGTGGTCAGGCAGATCTCCATCTCAGAGCCACAGTTTTTGTTTAGTCAGGAGCCATCCTCAGATCCAGATGGGGCTCCAGGGAGCCTCCCCAGGGTGCCTTCCAGAGCCAACAGAGGGAAAGGAGTGGACCCAGATGGGCAGGACACCCGCCTAGAACAGCCTGTTGAGCCTCACAGTCTGGAACCTAAGGAGGAATCAGGGTTTGGTACTGAGACCCACTTCCGCTGGGGTCTCCCTGGGGCCCCAAATGAGGAGTCAGGCGGCCTGGTGGCAGCAGCACTCAAAGTGCTTGTTCCTTTGGAGGAGGGGCACCCTCCCCATGTGAACCCAACTGGGCCCAGAGAACATCTCCAGGCCTCAAACCCAGATGACAAGGGCCTTAGCCCTGGGCCTATCCCTGCCAAACCACCCAGACAAAGAGAGGCCCTCTATCAGGACCCACACACTGCTGGCTCTGAGCCAGGGCTGGGGTCCCCAGGAGCCCGAGCTCTCACACCAGGGCTGGCTGAGCCCTCCCAGGGTCCCACAGAGAGATCCAAGCAGCACAAGCCAGGTCCAGATGTGCTGGCGGCCCACCCTGAGGGAATAAGAGAAGCTCATGGCCAGATCCTCAGGCCAGATGGGCTGGCAGCCCTCCCCAGCCAGGGTCTGGAAAAGAAGCCCAGGGCTGAGAGGAAAGGAGTGGATGGGGGAGGGCCGGGTCTCAGTTTAGAGCAGGCAGGAGAGACTTCTGGCCTGAGAACTGGGCATCTAGAACGCCCCCAGCAAGATGCCATGGCTGCTCCTCCCCCATCTGATGCACCACAGACTCAGGCTGAAGCTGAAAGCCCTGCTCCTGGAAAATCTTCACCCCTCAGGAGCCCTCCCCCCAAAAGGGCCCAGCCTGAAGATGGAGCAGGTCCCTTGGCATCCACAGATAACCTCCCCACTGTGGCCAAGCTGAAAGCCCAGCCAAGATCCCCACCTACAACTTCTCACAGAGAAGGAGAACAAGGTTCCCCTCAATCCAGAGAGCAAGGGGCAGAGAACAGGCCTGAAGACCCAGGAACAGACTCTGGAAAGACTGAGCCGACCCCATCCCCAGAAACCCTCACAGCCAGTAAGCCTCCGGCCGACCCTGATTACGTCTTCCACGTCATCTTCCTGGGAGACTCGAATGTGGGCAAAACATCCTTCCTGCACCTGCTGCACCAGAACTCTTTCGCCACTGGTCTGACAGCTACTGTAGGTAAGGGCCCACCTGGGGAGGGCAGCAGGGGAAGGAGGAGAGACCCAGGGGCCAGGCCCACAAGCCTGGGCAGGCCCAGAGCGCTCTATCCCTAAGGAAGCTGCAGGCTCTGCCCTGGCCACGGGCCCTGCAGTAGACATTATTTTATAGGGGCATAATCTTCCTATTTTACTAATCATCTCTAATTACAGGTAATTTGCTTTTTCTGCATTGATCTGATTAGCTTATAATGTGCCACATCAACAAAGCACCCTGTAATTTAGGTGCCAGCACTGTTTGATGGTGAAAACAAGCAAGTCTCCGCCCACGTGGCCTGTGGGCAGGCCACTGCAGGGTCCACGCTGGCTGGATTTGCTCATGACTAGCCCCAGGCCAGTCAGCCATGCTCTGTGGGAAGTCACCTTGGGCAAGTGGAATATTTTGTGCAGAGGGCACTTGTAGTGTGCTAAGCTAGGAACCCAGGTACCTGAGTTCAAGCCCACTCACTAGTGGTTTGAGGATCGTGGAGACAGCACCAGTTCTGACTTCCTACAGTGGTTATAAGGATGAGTCATGTCACGTTCTTAGAATGAAGTGCTCAGTAAATATCAGTTATTTTTATTGCTTATTATTATAAGTAAATATTTGATAGTGTCAACTTCAGTGGCTCCTGCAAATGACATTCCCAAAGCACAGTCTTTTCTCCCTAAAAACATCGGGACAGATGGCACTTGAGCAGTGGAAAGAAGCAGAGAAAAGCAAGCTGGTGGGAATGAAGGTGAGACCCACTTAGGGACTAGGATGGAGTGGTCCTCGTCTTTGTCAGCCAGGGTACATACTGACTGACAGGGGACCAGTGCCAGGCTAGTAGATAAATTCAAATTCTCAAAATGTTCTCTAAGAATCTTCACCTGGGGAGCCAGTTAAAAATGCAGTTTCCCCTTCAGGCAGGGGAAACATATATGCAGGCCTGACCTCATGCTGAGCTGGGTGACAGGGTGTGGAGGCCTCTGTTATTACCAAATCTATTAGTTACTGACCACCCACAATGTACCAGGCCTCTTGTTGTTATACCTTATAACAACCCTCCCTATAATTGAGCCTTATTTATTAACAACGAATAGTCTGTATTATTTAATTTGTCAATTAATTATCATGCATCATTTGTTACTGGTTAATGATCATTATTTCATTGCTATTTAAGTCTAAGTCTTATTTCTTCATCATGAGCATTATTATATGTTAGGAAGTTTCCACAAAAGTCAATCAAGGAAAACATAGGTTGTGTAATTGTAAAAAGGTGGAACAAACTTAGAGGCAATGCTATCAGTGTGGAGGCTAGAGATCCAGGGCCATGATCGAAATCCAGCCGTGGTTCCATACCCTGCCAGCTGTCACTTGACTGGCTTAGCTGTCACTGGGGAAGGTTCTGGCCTCGTCCTCAAGCACATTTTCCCACTCACCATCATCATCTGCCCTCTCCTACCCTCTCTTTCAGCAGAGAAGAGATGCAGGTTGCCTGCATTTGGGGGGTAGGGCTGGTGGAGGACCAGAGCTCAGACACTTGAGTTCTGTATGAATCTGCATTTTTGTGAGGCCTTTCCATATTCATTCCCATTTCACAGTTGGAGAAAACAGATCATCGAAGACCTGATTAAGTTTCTTGCCCTTTCTCAGTCCCAAGTTCATCCCCAGGGCCACTTACCTTCCAGGCACATTCCTCCACACCACAAGTTTTACCTTCTTTGGGGTCCTCCCTCTTCTGAGGCTGCTCATGTTAATTTGCTAATTGGGGAAGGTTTGGTAAAGAGGAAGGAGGACACATATTCCTAACAGTGTAGGAATAAGTTGTAACACTTTTGGGGGAAGAGTGTGGGAACACGTGGGGGATGGGAGAGAAGTAGAAAGTGAAAGCAATGAGGAGTTATTAACAGCATAGACTAATTGTTCAATAGATTCCACCTGCTGAGTATGTAAGCTGAGACTGGATCTAACACAGGGGATTGGATTAAATAACTTAAGTGGTTCCTGCAGACCCTGGGTTTCCTAAGACCTTCAGGAGAGAGAAGTGGGTGCTACAAACTTCTGCTTCACCATTTTGCTGAGGACAGACCTCCTGGGGCTGTGGCTTCTTTGGCTCCCTGAGGGGAGCATGGAATTGCCTCAGGGTTCAGTCACCACTAGGGGGCAGCAGCAGACATTTATGGGGGGGTCACCAAAGGAGACCCGTGAGAAAGGTCTACCAGCTCAGGGCTAATGTGAGGAGACACCCCTTTCCTGAGCCAACCTGGACCCTGAAGCCTCAGAAATCCATTAGGAAAGGGGATAGGGATGAAGGCAGAGAAGCCCCTCTCCATCATCCACCCATCTGGTTTCCTTGGAAAGAAGGGGTTGGCAGGAAGGTGCACCCCAAAGATTTCAAACCTCCCTGGGACTTCACCATTATTTCCTTATTTCCTGGAACAGAAAGGGTCTGGAACCATGACCACAGGGACGGATGGGTCTGGGGTTCAGGAAGATGAGAATTAATAAAGATAATGAAAATGACCACCTCTCAAACACCTCCTAGGGATGAGGCTGAATCTTGGATCTAAGTGATTTAATCTTCCCAACCACCCTGCAGTGTAGTTTTTTTTTTTTTTTTTTTTTTTTGTGGGACTCTCGCCGGTGCACGGGGATCGAACTGGCGCTGCAGAGGCTGCGGGCAGCCTCGCAAACCAGCGCTCAACCGCTGCGCCACCAGGGGAGGCCCTGCAGTGTGGATCTTTTACAATGGCTGCCTTGCTGATGAGGAGGGAAGCTCAGAGAGGTGAAGTGACTTGCCCAAGGTCACACACAGCACAGAGGGTGGTCGGCTCATAGTCCAATTGAACATCCTTGAAGCCAACACTCCTCCCGCCTCCAGGGCTGCCTGTCTGCCCTGCTGTCTGGTTAAAGGGGGAAGATGTGTGCATCTTTTTATTGGGGAATAAAAAAGGGAATACTGCAGACATACAATAATGCAACCAATTTTCTTGAGTGGCCTGAGGAATAAACATTGCTGTGCATTGAGAAGACAGATATGTTCGCAGAGGTAAAAGCTATGTATGGTGCTTGCGTTGGCTTCCACCATGGGCCTGTGTGGGGGCAGTAGGGGCAGTAAATCTATGGATCTGGTGGCCAGGGAAGGTTGCTTAGAGGATGTGGGCCCTGGAGTGTGGATGGGAGTGGAGCAGAGGGGAGCCCTTCTGTAGAAGGCTCTCATCCCACCGTGGCTGGTTGTAGATGTATGGGCAGGCCTTGACTACAAGGTAACATGAAGTGGGACTAACACCCCCCTCCCCACCGTGTGTCCTAGGAGTGGATTTTCGAGTCAAAACTTTGCTGGTGGACAACAAGTGCTTTGCACTGCAGCTCTGGGACACAGCTGGCCAGGAGAGGTAACGGCGCTGTCTTCATTAGTGGCCTTGGGGTCTAGGGCTGAGTCTAAGGTCTACGTAGAGGGGTGGAGGCAGCCCTGACCCCAAAAAGCCCAACACGGGCAAAAGGCAACCGAGTGCAAAAGAGGTCTCCCCTAAGGATTCAGGGACTTGGTCAAGTACAAGTGGGGGAAGATGGGGCAGCAGGCCCAGGTCCCCTCAGACTGGCAGGGTGTCTGGTTAGGACATCCAGTGCAACCCTGGGGACAGCACCCAATCAGTGTCCTGAAAATGCTGTCTTCATTTTGCAGCTAGGCAGTGTGATCAACACAAAGACACACCTTGACAGCAGTTTCGCTTCTAGAAATTCATTCTACTGATAAACTCACATATGACTATAAAAACAAAGAGCCTTAGACTGTACATAGCAACATTGTTTATCTTGTGAAATAGTGGAAACAACCTTAATAGTGAAACAGTTAAATAAATTAGAATAGATTAAAGATCAATATAAATAGAATAAATTCACATAATAGAATACAAAAATTCACACACACACACACACACAGATAGACTACAGATATTCTTTATGTACCAATAAGAAAATAGCTCCAAGATATTTCATTAACTGGAAAAAACGAAGTACAGAATACTGAATATTGAAGAGTATAGGGTATTTGCATTGTATTTGTGTTAAACGGGGAAGTTTATGTATGTGTATGTGTGTCTATGTGTGTGCATATATACATTTTTGTATACACATAAAATTCATCTGGGAAAATATTTAAGAAACTGGAAACCAGGCCTCTCTGGTGGCACAGGGGTTAAAGTCTCAGCACTATCAAGCTATCAGCAGCCACTGTGGCATGAGTTTGATCCCTGGCCAGGGAGCTACCCATGTGGTGCAGCAGACCTCTCCTGTCTTGCCTGCTGCCCCCCTCAGCAGTGTATTTCAGTAGATCTGCGTGTTCTGCTCCCCACTCTGTCTCTGGTGAATCCTCTCACCCTCTGCACCTCTGACCTATGCCCCAGTTATTACATGCATAAATAAATAAATCTTAAAAAAAAAAAAAAAGAAACTAGAAACCATGGTGGCTTCTGGGGAGAACTGGGAGGCTGCAGGATGGATGGCGAGAGTGTCACTGGATACCCTTTGCCATCTCGAAATTGAACCACAAGGCCTGTGAAATTTCTTTTTTTTTTTCCTCATTTTATTTTATTTATTATTTTTTTAATAATAAATTTTATTTTTATATTCCCCATACAATTGCAACCCCCCCATTCTGACCCCAATCCCTCCCCTCCCGCCCCCCATACCCCTAAAAGTGTCTCTGGTTCATTTTTTTTGTTGATTTTGATTTTCACTTTCTTATAGTTATTCATTTTCCTGGTCCCTTATTTAAGTTTTCTAGATTCCTGCTATGAGTGAGACCATCCGATATTTTTCTTTTTCTTTTTGGCTTATTTCACTGAGCATGATCCCTTCCAGCGCCATCCATGTTGCTGCAAACGGCATGTGTTTATCTTTTTTGAATGCTGAGTAATATTCCATTATGTATATGTACCACATCTTCTTGATCCAGTCATCTACTTTTGGGCATTTGGGTTGTTTCCAAAGCTTAGCTATTGTAAACAGTGCTGCTATAAACATAGGGGTGCAGGTGCTCTTTGGAATGGATGTTTCTGGACCTACTAAACATAGAGCTTCCATATGATCCAGCAATTCCACTCCTAGGTATTTACCCAAAGGACACAGAAACATCAAGGCCTGTGAAATTTCAACAATAACTGTACTGTAAGGAGAGCATGAGCAAACACATAGTTTCTTTGTAATTAGAATCAGGAAAGGTTAATCCTCCCATTTTGCAGATGGAATGACTGAGACCTGGAGAGGTTAGGGCCTGGGGTCAGGCCCCCAGGCATGGTTTCATGTAGACTCTCTGGGTAGGTATCACAGTGTGACCCGGCAGCTGTTCCATAAGGCTGATGGCGTGGTGCTCATGTACGACGTCACCTCCCAGGAGAGCTTTGCCCATGTGCGCTATTGGCTGGACTGCCTGCAGGTGAGCAGATGGCTGCTGGGGTGGCCCTGGTCTGGGGAGTCGATAGGGAGCATGTACCCTATCTGTTCCCCCCTTTCTGCCAGGATTACAAGTGACAAAACAGACAAAAAGGCAACATGATCCACAGAAGGCATTGGCTGGACAGACTGGTAGCATATTTTACAAAGAAACCACAGCCACACTGTACGGCCTCCAAAACAAACTACTTCCTTTATCCCATAAACTTCTTTCCTACATACAGCTGCTCTGTGATGTCTCCTTAACACCTGGGGCTAATGCAACTCCGGTACCATCTTAGGTGATCATTCCTCTGCCCACACATCTCTGGTTCTTTCCTTCATATACTTAATACCACTATACTGAAATTTTGTGGTCTGTACTAGTACAACAGAGGGATGTGAAGTAAGATATATAGTCTTCTCTCTAGACGTTTCTAGTGTAGTTGAAGAGAGGCAAAAGAAGCAGGATGAGGTAGTGGACAAGGGGACTGGCCTCAGGGGTCTGACAGGACCAAGATTTGAACCCAAACTACTCTGCTTCACCTCTGTGACCTTGGACAAGTGGTTTAGCCTCTCTGAACTTTGATTTCCCAATTTCTCATGTAGAGGAATTGTGAGAATTAACTGGTATAATTGCTCCCACCCAGAATCCAGTTTATATAGTAAGCACATAATAAATAGAAGCTATTATTATTATTATCAGGACCCAAGTCAATGGTGTGATCAAGCACAGGGCTTTCAGCACAGGCAAGAAGACATTGAGATGGGCAGGCAGGAGCAATCCAGGAAGGCTTCCTGGGGGTGGTACTTTTCAGGTTGGCTTGGAAAGTGGGTAGCATGTTTGCAGACAGAGACGGGAGCAGGCTCACTATGGAGGGAAAAATGTCAAGGTGGGAAGGGGGAGGCGTGAGTGTGGTGAGGTGGGCTTTCTGGCAGGCAGGACCAAATCCATCAAAGGCTTGGCACACAGCAGGTGCTTTACATGTGTGGTTGTATTCTGTACACAGGATGCAGGGTCTGAAGGGGTGGTCATCCTCCTCCTGGGAAACAAGACAGACTGTGAAGAGGCACGGCAGGTGCCCACTAAAGCAGGACAGCAACTGGCGCAGGTGAGTCCCTGGGCACCGGCCCCTCCCCTAGCCCTGACTGCATAGACACTCTCTGGAAGGGTATGAATGAGTCGCTCCCTGATCTGGCCAAAGGCCAGATCACGTGACCAGCAGCCTGGTCACCTCTGCCTCCCACCACATCAGCCTCAGACCCAAACATGAGGCTGTAATGGTGGGCAAGACGTTGAACCTCACTGCTAAATTAGCAAATTCAGGACACACAATGTCCTGACCTCTATTTAAAAAAATCTCCAGAGTGAAAAGGTCTGAAAAGCTTCATTTAAAATTACCAGTCAAATCTTACTTTTATCTCTGGTCTCTAATTAACATAACATTCCTTCTGATTTAGTCTATCTCAAAAGACTCAAATTCTTCCCCAGGAAAGATTGCATCAAAAGCTCCACCACTGTCTCTGGATAGCATTTTATTGGTGAACACAATCTGACCACATTCCAGAAAGTTTGGAGAGTAATAAAGGAGGAAAAAAAAGAATCACTCCTCCCCCTACCTCTGACTCAACCCTTCTGACCATCTACATACTGTGTTTCCTTCCTGTTTCTCCTCTCATTTCTCACAATCATGAGGTCATCATGAGGCTTCTGATTGGTTGGAATTCTTCCCACTTCAAAGTAGCAGCTCAGGGCCTCCCTGGTGGCCTAGGGGTTTAGTGTCAGAGCTTTCACCCCTAGGACCTGGGTTGGATCCCCATCCAGGGAGTTGGCGCAGCAGGCCTCTTCTGTCTCGCCAGCTGCTCCCCTCAGCAGTATATTTCAGTGGATCTGCCTGTTCTGCTCCCCACTCTGTCTCTGGTGCATCCTCTCCCACACCTCTGGCCTGTACCCCAATTCTTATATGCATAAATAAATAAAACTTTAAAATCGATCAATCAATCGATCAGAAACAGCTTAAGGGAATAACATAAAGGAGATATATATATATATATATATTATCATGTATAATCAAACCTGTTTAGATGAGGATGTTCTTGATGATATTATTTATAAGAACAAAATCTGGAAGAAGTTTGTGGCTAAAATGTAGAGATTCACACAAGAGGCTAGCATCTGCCATTAAGAATCCTGTCCTGGAAAATGCCTGAAGGGTGTGGTGGAAATGCTAACAATATAACAGAAGTTAGAAAGCAGTTGCAAATGTCGGTTAGGTTAATGTATGAGACTGCTGATAATCACCCCAGGCAGCTTTTTCCTATGGTTCAACCCAACAGTATAATGGCATGTAATCATTCCTCCCCCCAATAAAAGAGTCAATGTAAAACAGAAAGAAAATCCAGATCCAACACTAATAGGAGTGATTTCTATTTTGTAGTAACACTTTCTAATGCTATATTTCCTCCAAAGAAATATTTTTTGGAAAAAAAAGAATGATTTAAAAATTACCACAAGGACTTTATCAGGTTGGAACACAGGTTCCTCACAGTCACTCTTAAGGCTGTGGAATGTTCTTAGGGTGGAGGGGTAGAGGGCCCAGCTGGGGACTACAGGTCACCCTGACACAGGGCAGCTTCACCCTTGGGCATGGCGGGGGGTATACTGAGCTGGCCTCATGGCCAGAGCTTTGATGGGCTGCTGCCTGACCTCTTTATAGTCTACCACAATGCTCCATAGCTCTGCCTGTTTGTCTGTCTGCAGGAGCTGGGTGTCTCCTTTGCAGAGTGCAGTGCTGCCCTGGGTCACAACATCCTGGAGCCCATGATGAACCTGGCCCGGTGAGTGCCTCGCGACCCCTCCCCACCCAGAATCCCCAGGCAAACTTCAGCCACTCAGTGTGGGAAGGGGACGGATGGGAGGGAAGGCCTGTTCTGAGGAAGCGCCTATGGAACAACAGGGCTCCTCAGCCTGGGGAGCTGAGAGCACTGTGCAGAGTCGTCTGGCTCCAGTTCTACCAGTCTCGAAGGCTGCATTACCTTCCGAAAGTCACATGGAGGCATCCGGGGCACTCTGCTTCTTCTAACCTTCTAGTGACTTCCACCAGATGTAGAATAACATTGAAATGTTATTTCATATCTCCATTGTCATCTCCCCAGTACACTCATACACACACACACACACACACACACACACACACACACACACAGACTCACTAAGCCACTCGAGAGCCCTCCCTGACTACTTTCCCTCCCAAGGCTATTCTAGATCAGTCCTCTGTCCTTAGAAGTCCTGCTCCACAAGTTGCAATTTCACGTGCCTTTGTCTGTTTTCTGGTTGCTGTCCACCCGTTACTTGGCTGCAGCTCCAGGACAGCTGGGCTATGTCTCTTTTGTTTAGCCTCTCCCCCTGCACCTGGGCCTAGCATATACTAGGTGCACAATAAATAAAAATATTATTAAGGGCAGGTATCAAAACAGATGAGCCCCTTTTCTTTCTTTTTTTTTTTTTTTGTGGGACCCTCGCCGATGGCCAGGGACCAAACCGGCGCTGCAGAGGCTATGGGCAGCCTCGCAACCCAGCGCTCAACCGCTGCACCACCAGGGGAGACCCTAAGCCCCTTTTCTGTCTGAGCAGCTAGACTGAGCTTGCTAAACAGCAAATCTGGTCACACTATGATGTCCTCTGGCAGAAAACTGCTCCAAGCTTTCGCTGTGCTTTAGCATAAAGCCAAAGTTCCAGCAAGTCTCTTTCAGGCCCACAGAGACCAGGACCCCTGCGACCTCTGAGACTTATTTCCTGGTCATTCAGTTCTTAGGCTCTGTGATTTAGTACAGTGACTGGCACATACATACTTTGTGAATGAGTGAGTGAGTGAATGAATGAATGAATGGGTTTCTTTTACTTTCCCAACACTCTCTCCTGACACTGAACCTTTGCCCTCTGCTGGCCATGCACTGCCCTTTTTGTTAGCAGACACTGTCCGCTGCTGATCAGCCCCAACACTGCTTCCTTCCTCCTCCAATCCCCCCAGGACCTGGTCTGAGCTCCTCCTTCCCCAGTCCTGGGTCCTGATCACCCCTTCTCTTCTCTGTCTTCTCACTACTCAGGAAAGGGTCATCCTGGCTTTTTTGTCGCCATCACAGAGCCTTACATTGTGCCTGGCAAACAGCAGGCTGGCAAAAATGCCAGAAAAGTGACAGTAGGCCAAGATCAAGACAGCAGAGCAGGTGGGAGAGAGGAAGTTCACAGGGTGCAGTCTTTCAGCCCCTGAGCTGCATCCTCGGGCCCCTCCCTACTATCCCAGGGGGTGAGAAAGGAACTGATGTCTCTGGGTGTCATCACACAGGTCACTCCAGAGGCAAGAAGACCACCTGAAGGGCTCGCTGGTGGAGGTGGACCCCGAGAGGCCTCCGAAGAGAGCTGGCTGCTGCTCCTGACCGCCCAGCTTGGTTGGTGTAGGCGCCCCCTCACCCCCACCCCACTCCCCAACCAGGGCTTCCTGTTCCTCAGCTCCTATCCTGGACACAGCAGTGACGGAAAAGTCCAACTCAGTTCAGGGAGCTCCTCCTCAAGTCAGTGCTCAGATCCACCACTGGGCAGGGGCTGTTAGCCCTGCCCTGGGCACTAGGAAGCAGCAGCGCTGAGTATATTAGGCTGGAGAGAAGGTTGCAGGGAGGGCAGAGGGTTAAAACTCTTAAAAGAAAGGAAATGTCTAGAAAGAGCATTAGGAAAATACACAGTATTGGTCAAATATCTATGGGTAAAATTATGGGGTGAACATATATGGGGGTATTATTTCCCTTTTTATACATATTTGTATTTTCAGATCTTCTCTAATGACTGGTATTCCTTAAATAATCATAAATAAAAATGTTAAAAGGAGGGAAAAAATCTTTTCAAAGAGGTGGTTTTGGAGCTGATTACTAATTGATAGATCCTGTCAATTACCAAGTACCCAGTTGTTTTTTATCTTAACATTTTATTTATTACTACATAGAAGAACTGGGGTATAGTCCAGAGGTGCAGAGGGTGAGAGAATTCACCAGAGACAGAGTGGGGAGCAGAACAGGTAGCTCCACTGAAGTACACTGCTGAGGGGAGCAGTGGGCGAGTCAGGAGAGGTCTGCTGCGCCATGTGGGTAGCTCCCTGCTGGGGATCGAACTCGTGCTGCAGTGGCTGTCCGATAGCTTCATAGTGCTGAGACTTAACCCTTTGTGCCAATAGGAAGGCCCACCAGGTACCCGATTTTTATTTTTTTTTTTTTAAAGTGACAGTCTTTTTTTTATTTATTTATTTGTTTGTTTTGTTTATACAAGCACTGGGTACAGTCAGAAGCGCGGGAGGGTGAGAGAATCCACCAGAGCCAGAGCGGGGAGCAGAACAGGCAGAAGGACCGAAGTACACTGCTGAGGGGAGCAGCGGGCGGCAGGAGAGGTCTGCGCGCCATGTGGGACCCTCCTCCGGTGGCCGGGAAGCAGCCGGGGATCGAACTGGCGCCGCAGAGGCCGCGGGCAGCTTCGCAACCCAGCGCTCAACCGCTGCGCCACCGGGGAGGCCCGGTACCCGATTTTTAAAAGGAGTCCTGTGCCCATCAAAGCAAGGTGAACCTCATCTCACTATTTGAAAGCCTCCGAGGGGGTTCGATTCCTGGGCAAGAGCAATACTCTGACAGTCCCTGAGACGCTCCGCTCCTCCCTGTCTTGGGGACTCTCAACTCTGCTCCTTTTGCCTCAGATCTGCCTCTAAGGGTCATATTCAGAAAAACTGCCTCCTGCCCCAAATGCCAGGTCCCCTGGGGAGCCCTTTGGCCTGAAATGTCCCTTGCTGGCTACATTCCAGATGTAGCAGCTGGGTGGTGGCTGGTGGGGCCTGGGTGTGGCCAGGAAACTGGGCTCAGAATCACCCAAGGACTCCTCTATGGAAACCTTGTGGGAGTTGCCAGAATTGCCCAAGTTCATATAACCTGGGGCTGGGGTTTTCAGTGCCCTGGGGGACCTGTTCTGAGCGTCTGAGAGAGAAGAGTCCTCTTAGCGCGGGCCTGTCTCGCCATCCGCATTTGCCACAGTCTGTCTCATCTGGCTGCTAACCACAACAACGCTCATCACGCTCATCACGTACTGCGATCCAGGGGGGCAGGACGTTGAGTTGAGGGCTTTGTAATCCTTCCAATTCTGGTGAATTCCTCTGCTGAATCAGAGGAAGCCCCAGTTTCATAGACAAACAAAGACAGCTCGAGAGACAGGTACAGAGCAAGAGAATGAAGGAGAAAGCCCGGCAGGAGATGGAGGGCTTGCTTACTTAGTCCATCTGTCTCAGCTCCTGACCCTTTCCTGCTGCTCTGTTCTAAGGGGGTGTTTCTGCAGCGGTGAGCTCTCGTCACTAGGAGCACATAAGCAGACTTTAGGTGACACTTGGCAAAAGGTGAAGTGAAGATTCAAGCAACAGAAGCACTGAAATGGGCATCAGATGCCCTTAGTGGACTCATTCAACCTGGAGACTTACTCTTTCTTACCTCCAGTGTCTCCTTTCCAGACCCTGTCAGCCCACAAGCCTCCCCCTGCTCTGAGAAGTTTCTGGGCTGTGGTATGGGAGAAAGGGAGAGACAAAGCAAGGTGGGCTGGAGTGAGTGATGCCAGCCCTGGGAGAGGGTGAGGCAGGACCCGCTGTTGTTAACGACTCTCTCTCTCTCTGGGGTCCAGAGGCCTAGCAGGCACCAACACCTCTGCCCTGTGGGCCAGTGAGCTAATGAGGCAGGTAGGCAGGGTGTGATTCCTGGGGGAGCCAATAGAGCAGATACAGACCCTGTCCTTTGGGGGATCCAGTCCAGAAGTAGCCCCTAGACCTGCCCCTCCTTACTTAGTCCTGATCCAGCCTTGGGCAGCTAGCTCAGATTCCCTGGAGGTGGGTGCTGGACGGGACCACACACCTCCCGGCTTCTCTGGCTGGATCTAGCTTTGGTGGAGAAGCTGTAGAGGGGCTGCCAGCTTTTCCTGGTGTCAAAGATCTCCAAGTCATCAGTGAAGGTCCAGGAAGCTCGGACCAGCACAGGTAAGTGAAAACAGCAGCAGGGGATACTCAAGGTAGACTTCATAGTGAACCTCCAGGCAAGTGTTGAGCTGTTGCGTGGGATTAAGAAAAGGTGGTGGGAGGACCTCCCTGGTGGCGCAAGGGGTTAAGACGCAACCTATGAAGCTGTCTGTAGCCACTGCAGCACAAGTTCGATCCCCTGCCAGGGAGCAACCCACATGGCACAGCAGACCTCTCCTGACTTGCCCGCTGCTCCCCTCAGCAGTGTATTTCAGTCAGTCTGCCTGCTCTGTTCCCCACTCTGTCTCTGGTGAATCCTCTCACCCCCACACCTCTGGCCTGTACCCCAGTGCTTGTATGCATAAATAAATCTTTAAAAGAAAAAGAAAGAAAAGGTGGTAGGATTGGGCTGATGAAGCTCAGGGTGTGGAGTGAGAAGGCAAAAGGGTGGGGGGAGTGGTTGGGTTGTTAGGGAAGAGGACTATCCTGGAACCAAGGGTGGGCAGTGGCAAAACAACACCTAGAGCAGCTACTGTGTGCCAGACACTGTTCTGAGCTCTCACTTGTGTTACCTCATTTAAGCCTCACATCAACCTGCTGAGGCGGGGCTTGTTCTCCCCATTTTACAGGGGAGGAAAGGGAGGGCTGGAGGGCTAGATCACGTGTCTACCATCACACAGCTTGTAAGTGGTGCAGTGGGGTTTGCAACCAGGCACCAGCCCCACAAGTTTAATTATGAAGTTAGGGAGCTTCGTACAGGAAGGCATGGAAGCGTAGCAGGAGCAGAGGCCAGGCTCCTTGGCTCCAAGCCGCCTCCTCCCCTCGCCCTTTTCTAGCGTCCTCTCCAGCCATGTCCCTTGTCACTGGCAGACAGGCAGAAGAAGTGAAAAAGCAGTGACAAATGCTGAGAGAGGGGCTTGATTACCCATCCTCTAGGGCAGTGAGGATGCTGGACCTGGGACCTCAGTTCCTCCTTCCCCTCCAGTCCCGGGAACGAGACTGAGTCCAGGGAAGAATGTGGGTGGCAGAATCCGCAGACACCACTCGGGGCTCTTCTCAGTTGTCCTCAAGCAAGTGGCTGCCGTGGGGCTCAGAGAATAAGCACAATCCCCAGGCAGGAGGAGCTCAGGAACCCCTCAAGTCCTGGCTCTGAATCAGCTAATGTCCTTGCAGCCCTCACCCCAGGGTAGGAGAAAAGGGGATGGGAAGTAGCATCAGGCCCCAGTGGACTGTCTTATTTGCTGCTGGATCCCTAAGACCTAGCTCAGGGTAAACACTCAGGAAATATTTATTGAGTCACAGGACAAGCTCTCCCCACTAGAGCTGGGGGGTCCTGGCCTGGTCTGTGGGGTGACAGATAGTGATTATCTGCCTCTGGGCTGACTCTGGGATATGCAGATCCCACCTCTCTAGCATGTGGGGGTGAGGTGGAAGATCTGACAGCCAGGGTGCACGCTTCCCCTAGCCTGCCAGGTCACGGTACAACACAACCATGCAAGGCTGCGGTTCCCAGGACGGTCTGCCCCAGCGTCATCTGGGGTCTTGCATGAATCGGTGGAACAATTAAATCATATCTGGGGGAGGGGGAGGCAGGCATTAGTGTCTTTCAACCTCCTCAGGTGCTCCCAACTCACAGATAGGGTGGGAACCTCTGGTTGGGACTTTACACCTTTTCAACATCTCTTTATACCTACTTGAACCTCAAATTAAAATTTGCTGGCTTCATAGGCAGGGCAAGGTTTTATAAAAATAAGCATGTGACAATATGTGTGTGTATACATATATGTATATATTTTTGATATTAATTTATTAGATTCAATTTGTACTACCTGCAGAAATTTTAGAATTAAAGAAGTTAAAAAGAAAATAAAAACCACCTGACATCACTCATAAGTGACAATTACTTGCGACATGTTTATTTTTTTTAATTTGTTTTTCTTTATACAATAGCTGGAGTACAGGCCAGAGGCACGGGAGGGTGAGAGGATTCACCAGAGACAGAGTGGGGAGCAGAACAGGCAGACGGACCAAAAGCACTGCTGAGGGGAGCAGCAGACACGACAGGAAAGTGGGAACTGAACCCACGCTGCAGAGGCTGCGGACAGCTTCACAGCGCTGCGCTCAACCCGCTGCGCCACCGGGGAGGCCCGGCATGTTTTATATCCTTTATTTTCTTGCTTCCATACAGTCGAGGAAATCCAGGTTGAGAAACATTAAGTAACTTTCCCGAGGTCAAGAAGCTATCAAGTAGCAGAGTCCGGATTTGAAGCCAGGACAGTGGTGGTGCCCATCCCATCAGGTTGCCATGAGGTCAGAGGGGCTGACGCATCGTGAGGGCACCCACTGGACATAAGGTCTGTGAAAGGAGGGGCTCAACAGAGAAAGAAGGAGGTGGCCCTCGGGCTGTTTTCTACGCTGCCCTTAGGTGTCTGCAGCCAGAGAATGGAGCCTGGGCCGGAGCCCAATGCCACCTTCCCTGCCGGGCTCACGGCCACAGCCGAGCGACACCTCCGACTCGTCTTTGCGGGGCTGTGTGGCCTCATCCTGCTGGTGGGGCTGCTGGCCAATGTGCTGATGCTGCTGGTGGTGGGCCGGGGCCCGGGCACCCCCCGCCCGCTGCTCGCCCTCACCAACAGCCTCATGGTGAACATCACGCTGTCTGACCTGGTCTTCCTGGCCTGTGTGGTGCCTGTGCTGCTGCTGAGCTTCCTGCAGCCGGCCTGGTGGCTGGGCCCTGTCATCTGCACCACCAGCCAGGCCGCCAACAACGCCACCATGTTCTGCACTTTCTACAGCATGGTGGCCACGGCTCTTCTGCGCCATGTCGCCGTGGCCCGGCCGCAATTGGCCCTCCCGGCCAGCCTGGGCGCCCGCCTGCTGCTCTGTGGGGCCATGTGGGTCCTGGGCTTCACTGCCTCACTGCCCAACTGGCTGTTCCAGCGAGTGGAGGGAGAGGTCGCTGGGGCGCAGGCTTGCCTTTTGCTCCTGAACCCTGTTCAGACTTACTGCTACTTCACTCTGCTGGGTGCCCTGGCCTTCCTGCCTTGCGTGCTGGGGCTGGGCTGCTCTTTCAGCCACGTGGGCTGGCTCCTGTGGACACAGCCCCGAGGCCCCATAGGGGAGAGCCCCCAGGAGCACCAGGAGAACACCGGGCTCATCCTGATTGTGTTAGTGGTCTTCGTGCTGATGTGGGGGCCGTGCTCCGTGCTGGGCTACATGGCAGCTATGGGGGATCTGCCCGACACGCCGGTGACTTTCGTGGCATCCAGCCTCTGCACCATCATGGCCTACTCCAACTGTGCTGTCAGCCCCATCCTCTGCTTCTACCTCTCCCGCCCCTTTCGGGCAGGCCTCCGGGATCTCTTCTGCAGGCCGAGGGTAGCCAGGCACCCCAGGGACATGGGAGGAGCTGCTAGGGTAACTGGGCATGTCCAGTCTGGCCACGACAGGGCCCCAGGAGGCCTATGGGGCATGGCAGGGGTTTGAGAAAATAGCTGATGGGAGGAGGGCTGATAAATAAGAGAAATGGACAGACGCTGAGTGATAGTACAGCCGTCCCCTCCATTTTACCTGTGTGGTGCCTGAGTTGAGCGGACAGGTGGCCCAGCAGACACAACACAGCCACCAGAGAGCAACTAGGTTATTCTTCCCATCCCACCCTGCGCTCAGATAGCCACAGACTCTAGTGCTCTCTAGTTACATGATTTTGGACAAGTTCCTTAACCGCTTATGCTCAGTTTTCTCATGTGAAAAATGGGGGAATGACAGTACCTATTTCACAGGGTTTTGATGAAGATAAACTTACTGTTATGAAGATAAATCTGCTTACCACATGTAACATGCCTAGAAGAGAGCTTTGTGCTTAGAAAAGGCCCATGAGTGGCCATCATTACTAGCGTTATCAGCATCATCTCATTTTTTTTTCCCACTCAGGGGCTTTTGAGGTGAGTATCCTAGAGGGTGGCAGAGGAACTTTTAAAGGCAAAGAAGTGGGCAGAGGGATGATCTGGAGGCTTATAGTCTGAGCTCCTTAATGCTGAAGGTCTGGGGATTAAATGCGAGGTGGAGAGGAGGGGCCACCACAGCCTAGGTGGAGGGTTCTTAGCCCAGGAGAGCCTTTCAGCTGCTTTTCCCTTCTCCACCTGCCCTTCCTCTCTCTGTCACTCACACCCCTCAGTCCAGCAAGAGAACATAAATAAAATCAGCCATGGAATGATGAGTCTGTGTACTTCTGAACACCTGCTTTTCTTCTGTGTTTCTCTGCCCAGCAGAGAAACTTCTCGTCCTCTTTTGAGGCCCCTTTCTTCTCTCCAGATCCAACATAAGGTGTCCGTCTCCTCCAAGAAGCTCCCAAACTCTACCATCTCTTCTCCTGGAAGCAGACCTCAGGCCTCAGACTGCTTCTCTTGAAATCCCCAAGGCAGTACTTCCTGCTTAGTAACAAAGTTACGGCTATAGGGCCTCCCTGGTGGCGTACGGGTTGAACGCTGGGTTGCGAAGCTGCCCGCAGCCTCTGCAGCGCCGGTTCAATCCCCGGCTGCTCCCCGGTCACCGGAGGAGGGTCCCACATGGCACGCAGACCTCTCCTGCCGCCCGCTGCTCCCCTCAGCAGTGTACTTCGGTCCTTCTGCCTGCTCTGCTCCCCGCTCTGGCTCTGGTGAATTCTCTCACCCTCCCGCGCTTCTGACTATACCCAGTGCTTGTATAAATAAATAAATAAATCTTAAAAAAAAAAAAAAAAAGTTACGGCTATAAGCACTGCACTGGCCCACACATACAGGGAAGTCTCTGTTCAAAGTTTGGGAAACAGGCGCCTCCTTGGTGGCATAAGGGGTTAAGTGCAGCACTATGAAGCTATCCGCAGCCTCTGCAGCACCCATTCAATCTCCAGCCAGCCAGGGAGCAACCCACAGGGCCCAGCAGACCTCTCCTGTCTCACCCGCTGCTCCCCTCAGCAGTGTGTTTCAGTCAGTCTGCCTGTTCTGTTCCCTTCTGTCTCTGGTGGATCCTCTCTCCCCACACACCTCTGGCCATTACACTCCAGTTTTTGTATGCATAAATAAATAAATCTTTGAAAAAAAAAAAAAAAAAGAAACAGGCCTCCCTGGTGGTGCAAGGGGTTAAGCACCACACTATGAAGCAATCCTCAGCCTCTGCAGCACTTCGATTCCCAGCCGGCCAGGGAGATACCCACATGGCGCAGCAGACCTCTCCTGTCTCGCCTGCTGCTCCCCTCAGCAGTGTATTTCAGTCAGTCTGCCTGTTCTTTTCCCCACTCTGTCTCTGGTGAATCCTCTCACCCCCCACATCTCTGGCCTGTACCCCAGCTCTTGTATGCATAAATAAATAAATTGTTAAAAAAATAAAAAAAAACAGGGCCTCCCCTATGGCGCAGCGGTTGAGCGCTGGGTTGCGAAGCTGCCTGCAGCCTCTGCAGCGCTGGTTCAATCCCCAGCCTCCGGGCGAGGGTCCCACATGGTCGCAGACCTCTCCTGCCGCCCACTGTTCCCCTCAGCAGTGTACTTCGTCACTCTGCCTGTTCTACTCTCTGCTCTGACTGTGGTGAATTCTCTCACCCTCCTGTGCCTCTGACTGTACCCCATGCTTGTATAAATAAATAAATAAATCTTAAAAAAATATATTGTTAAAAAAAACAAAGTTTGGGAAACTTAATTGAATCAAGTCAGACTGCTCTCTGCTGCAGGACTTATCAGCCTCACACACCATAACTGTCATTGGGACCTTCTGAGAGGGACTCAGAGCAGGCAGCTTCCCCAAATCTATGCTGGGGAACCAGTGTTCTATGGAACACATTTGAGAAAGAACCCAGGAAAGCAGCTACAGTGGGAACACAGTCCAAGATGCTCTGGGGTAAAAGAGCTGAGCCTTGATTTCCCCTGCCAAGCAGGCATCTCCTCCCGATGCTTTCCCATAGCCAAGGTGAGGCAAAACAGGGCCGCTGGTCATGGGAACTTGCCTCCTCCCAAGCCGTGACTCCACCCCATCTCCACTCAAACGAGTTGGAATGCAAGCCAGAGGGGCATCTAATTATAGGGACAGCCATGAATCAGCTCTAACTTACTATAAAATCATAAAAAGTAAACAAATCCCAAACTTTGGGATAATTAGTGTTAAATTTCTTGTGATGCGCAGATTGGGAATGACTGCCTCGGGGCTGGAGCAAACCTTTCCAGAGAAGGGAGAGGCCCCTTTCCCTGTGGTGCTGGTCCTTGGTGGCCACAGGGATTTCTGGTGAATAGGGGCCAGGAAGAAAATGGTGTTTGTTGTGTACCTAAAACTCAGCACGTCTCGTGCAGGTCCTACACTCCACGTGCACAGACTTTGGTGTTGCACCACTTGACCAATAATCCTGCAAGGGAGGGTGCTCCCCATAGCAGAAAGGAGCAATAACTTATCCTGAGCCTGAGTTGGCCAGACTGTGCCAGGAGTCGCTCCTTTATGCCCACAGACCCTGGTCCCTCCCAATCACTGGGCATCAGCACCCCAGGATTGTAGGATTGCTTTTTCATTGCTGCAGAGCAGAGGATAACCCCCCGAGGGTACAGCTGTGTGTGTGAGTCACTGTCTCCAGCCAGCCCTGAGCAGGGCCTAGCAGTAATGCTCAGTAAACACTTGGTGAGAGATGCGTGACTGAGCAATCAAAATGCAACAAAGTGAATGGTCCAGCATAATCTGAACAGGTACTGACCCCTCTCACCTCCTGAATGGCTCCCTGTTTCACTCGGAGTAATGCTCAAGGCCTTAGGATCCATGTGATCTGTAATCTTTACCTTCTGACCCCAGCTCCTGCATTGTCTCCTCCTTAATGCAGCTCTACCACACCAGCCTCCTTACTGTCCTTCAAACACTATGCAGGCTCCTACCTGAGGACCTTTGCACTTGCTGTCCCCTCTACATGGAGCCCTCTTCCCTCAGATATCAGATGCTTCCCTCATTCATTTCCTTAGGGCTCATCCCAACTGTCACCTCCCCGAAGAGGCCCTCCCTGACCACCTCATCTAAACTATCAACCGTGCCACTCTATCCTCTTATTCTCACTCTACTTTTTTTTTGGTAATTCTTATCACCACATGAAATTGTTCTTTGCCTATCTGTTCACATGTTCACTGCATTTCCCCCTCTGACTGTGTGCTGCTATGAGTTCCATGTGGATCTCTTGCTTTGTTTATTCCTGCGTCCCCAGTGCCGACCACGGACTCTGGCACACAGCAAAGCCCAGTATATCCTCGTGGAACAATAGAACAGAGAGAGGGGAAGTTGGACTCGGCCAAACAGCAACATCTGTGCTATTTTTCACAGGAGAAAGGAAAGCAAAGAACTTTAGTAAAAGAACCAAATTTACTGTAGTTTAAGGCAAATTCCACACGGAGACTGTCTCGGAGACGGGCACAAGACCAGACAGCAAAGAAACACCACCATCATGCATGACAGGGAGGGAAGCGGTGCTGGGCAGCAGATTGGGTGGGGCCTGGTCTGCAGTGGGCTGAGGGGCCCCATGCGGCAGGCGGGACCGGCATGCATGACCTGCTCCCGAGTGGGTAGAGTCTGGGTGGGCCAGGGGTGAGGTCGCCTTTCTCACCTTTCCCACATCAGAGACAGGGGTTTGGGCTCAGATTCCAGAACCCAGGACTAAAGGGTTAGGGTAGATTTGGGGCAACAGGATGACCCGAAAGCCAAGACGGCCTGGGGGATGGGTTGCCCTGGCCGAGAGTGGGAAGGGGAAGCTGGGCTTGGAATGCATGGACCCTCAGGACATCAGAGCCAGAGGAAAAGCGGGGCCCATCTCATCAACTCTCTTGCCTTACAGATGTGGAAACTGAGGGCCAGGGGGTTCCCACGGCAGGCAGGGGTGGAGGCAGGGCCTGAACCTAGAACTCCTGTCTCCTGTCCCCATGGGTAGAGGAGCACGTGGGAGTGCCGGAGCTGGGATACTCTGTGCCCAGACCCCCAGATGGGCAGCAGAGGTGTGGGCACCAAAGACTCTGGGTAGCCTCTGGGGGGCAGTGGGATGCCTGCAGCCAGAGTCAAGTGTGGAGGTGCCTGTGGGCTCACACAGAGACCTGTGGCTCTGGGTGTCTGAACCAGCACCCCCTCACGGGCTTGAGAGGCATCATAAGGGACTCTGTGCCTGAAAAGTCTCCATTACTGGCCCATCCATGGCCTGCAGTTCACATCCCAGATGCCCCTTGTGGCTCACCACCTGAAATTATTCTGTGGGCTCTCGTCCCACAGGACCATGCCTGGGCGGGGTCCCATACTTCATGTACAAACCCCTCATGGGGCTCACTGGATACAGGGCACAGGGGAGATACTGGGCAGGAGTATACCAGGTACAGGAGTAGACACCATAGGAAGCTGCTAGGAGAAAGGGACTGGGAGGAGGGAGGCCAGTCCAGGCTTCAGGGCTACAGGAGAGCAGAAGGGACTGCCCCGGTAGGCTGAGGGGACCCCAATCATCTTGATTGTTAAAACTTTCCTAGCCGGGCTAGAACCCAGTGACAGGCAAAGAAAAGCTGGGGTCCAGAACCCCATTCCCACCACCTACCCAGATGCCCCAGCCTGGATTTGAAAGGAAGTGAGGCCAGAAAATTGGGGAGGAGACTCCATAAGCCCCGCCCCCTGCCTGGGCTCCCAGGCACACAGATGTCCCAAAGGCTGGGCTCCCGACTGTTGTGGGGGAAGCCTGGGTATCCTGCCTACCATTCTCCAGGCCTCCCCAGGGCCCAGCCACCTGCTGGCTCAGATGTGCGTGTGCAGCGGGGATGCAGGGGGTGTGCGTTCAGGGGACTGGGGGGGCGAGCTCGCGGGGGCTGTTGGCGGAGGTCGGGGGCGGATGCCCTGAGCCTTCATGTAGGAGACCAGCTGATCAGGGATCTCCGCCAGCACATCGCGGGCCAGGCGCGCCATGCTCAGCACGTGGTTGCCGGTGCGGTCCACGTAGTCCCTAAAGGGCACGAACTGGCCAGCAGGAAAGGCAGCGTCAGGCCCCAGCCCCCCACCAGAAACTCCAGACCTGGGGTCCTGTTTCACCCTCAGCTCCACCCACTTCACTCAACTTTTTCCCTCATGGTGAGCTCCCTGAAGGCCAGTATGGTAGTCACTTCCTTCACTAGCCCACACCTCTCCAGGGCCTACTCCTCCGTGCCAGGACACACCACTGAGCAAGAGCCCTGAACCTCAGAAGTTTTGGCACCAACCAGAGGCACCTCGCGGGCACTCAGGAAATAAGGAATGAATCCCTGACTTCTGGAAAACAGACCCTGGGGTCTCCACCCACCTCTCTGGCAGAGCCCTTTGTCTCTGTCTCTTTGGCCCTACTGTTCCTCTTTGCTCTCCAGGGCCAACACCTGAAGTCAGGTCCCTCTGGTTTCCTCCCAGGGGAGTTCCTCTACACCCCCCCATTGCCTCAGGCCTAATCCCACCTCCAGGACTTTGCCCACATGGGTCCTGCCTCCCAGATTCCCTGGCTCTGGCTTCTACTCCCTTATCTCTGGTATGGAATGGAGTGCCATGCAGGGAATGGTCCTTAATCTACTTTAATTTTTTTCAGCCCAGTGGGTTAAATGTCAGGGAGACTGTCAGTTTTTCATTTTGAATCTCCTAAGCACAAGGGACTCGGTCTGCAGGAGATTCAGTGAGGGGTGAGCACTCTGAGGGATTCCCTGAGGACAAAGATCCATCTTCTCACTAAACCTGCATCCTACATGGAGGTGTTAAGACACTCAATGAACTGGGTAGTGCCTGTGGCATCCTCTTGGAGAGGATTGTGGCAAGGCTCAAGACACGGCCTCCACCTTCTAGGGGTCTGCCATGTCACTGGGAAGGTGACCAGGCAGAAGCAACGGGAGGTGCATGTAAGCAGGCCTGTGTTCTGCAGGAGGCCATGGCAGCCTGGGGGCACAAGAGGGCAGGTAGAGCATTCTGGTGAAGGAACAAGTAACATGTTAGCGGTGAGTTAGGGGCTCAGCACAGAGAGAAATGTGACCGTAAGACTGACTCTTATTCCCTTCTATGGTGGCCAGCCACTTTAGTGCTCCCAGTATCCCCCCTCCAGGACCCTTTCCCAGAGAAACCCCCACAGGAGGTATAAGGCAGGGCTAGCTAGAGAGAGGTTCTTGCATTTTCCGTGGGGCAGGCAGGTCTGGGCTTCACCTGGACAATGTCCCGCTCAGCCAGCTTGCCCCGGGAGGAGATCCGCACGTCATCACCGTCCAGTTCCACCATGGCTATGGGGGGAGGAGAGGCATGGGGGAGGGGGAATTGGTGTTGGACATTTGGGCTGGCAGGAGAGTAGACTTGGCCTTCAATCCTTGGCCAATTCAAGGCAGAGACCACCTGCCTAACCCCCATGCTAGAGATCAGGAAACTGAGACCACGTAACAGGAGGAGCCCAACCAGGTGAGTCTCTGCACAGCATCCCCACCCTCCTAGCTCGTGGAGTTGGAGAAGAAAGGAAGAGTGACTTGGGGCCTCCTCCCCACAGCCTTGGGATGGGCATGGGGTGCACACCCTGACACACCCATCCCTGTGCAAACAAACACACCCTCACGCCCTGCCTGCTCACCCAGACGTCACACATGCCCAGGCGTCAGCTTTCAGTCATTGGGAAGACTCATTCCAGGGGCTGAAGCCTCTGGGGAAACATCTAGGGTGATGGAGACTCACCATCGAACTCTGCCTGGCCCACGCCGATGATGATGATGGACATGGGGAGTTTGGCAGCCTGGAGGCAGCATGGGGAGCAGGGGGAGAAACTGAATTCAGCTGGGGGACCAGTTAAAAGAAAGGGGAGAGGGCCTCCCCGGTGGCGCAGTGGTTGAGCACTGGGTTGCGAAGCTGCCCGCAGCCTCTGCAGCGCCGGTTCGATCCCCAGCTGCTCCCCGGCCACCGGAGGAGGGTCCCACATGGCGCGCAGACCTCTCCTGCTGCCCGCTGCTCCCCTCAGCAGTGTACTTCGGTCCTTCTGCCTGCTCTGCTCCCTGCTCTGGCTCTGGTGAATTCTCTCGCCCTCCCGCGCTTCTGACTGTACCCAGTGCTTGTATGTATAGATAAATAAATAACTCTTTAAAAAAAAAAAAGAAAGAAAGAAAAGAAAGGGGAGAGCATGGGTAGGGACAGAAAGGGTGGTCAAAAGAAGGTAGGAAGCCGGGGAGGACAGGGAAGATGTGGGGGAGAGAGCCATGAAGGCACGGAGACACAGGAAAGCGGGGAGGAGAGGGAGCTAGGGCAGCCAGGATGCAGACCAAAGAAACGCAGGTGGAGCACCAGAACAGAAGAGGGGTGGAAAGGGAGAAAGGCTGAAGGGGAGCTGGGTCACCGGTTTATTTCTGCAAGGCACCCCCACCCCTTTTCTGCCCCCAGGCCTCTATCCTGTGCGACTCTTATAGGGAAGACCACCCAGCCAGAGGGGCCCTGTCCCTGGACCTCCCAAACTCTGGGTCTGCCCCCATCCTCTACCGGGTCAGGTCAGACTGGGGGCTGCGGCAGCTGTGCTAGAGATGGGCTAATGAGGGAGTCCCGGACAACTGGAGAGAGTGTCCACCAGGGTGACTCAGAGGTGGGTTTGGAGCTCACCTGCTGGCTCTTTCATCAGCCAGACACCCGGCCCCCACCCCACACCCACAGCTGGTCTCTTCCTCCTGACTCAGCAGGAGAAGCCAGGAATAGGGTGGTGGTCCCAAAGGACGGGAGGGAGAACACGCCCAAGCTATGCCCGTCTCCCTAAAGAGCAAGAGGGCACCCCCCTGGAATCTGCTGGGTTCCTGTCCCTCCTCTGACTGGCCTCCCACCTCTGTCCCAGGCCCACAATTCCTCTCCAGTTCCCTGTCCCTCAGCCCCAACCCGCAGCTCACGTTGACAATCGCCTCCTTGGTCTGCGCCATGTCCGAGATGACCCCGTCGGTGATGATGAGCAGCACGGAGTACTGGGAGCCGTCCTGCACGGTGGCCGCGTTCCTGGGGGAGGCCGGGGCACGTGCGGCAGGACTCTGGGCAAGTCAGCCCCTTCCCCACGAGAACACTTAACACTTTATAGGGACAGCTCTTAGGTGGAGGGGTCACCCCAGGGCCAGGGCTCCCTGAAAGCCAAGTCAGTGGGGAGATATACTCCCTCCCACCTTCCTGAAGTGACAGATGCAGCAAGACCGACCTTGTGAGCTGTCGGGACAGGGGTCCAGGGATGGGAGCACTTACCTGGCCACATGGGTGACCACAGGGGCGAAGTTGGTGGGGCCGTAGAGCTGTACGGTGCGCAGGCTGTGGTGGTAGGCCTCCAGGATGCCATCGATGCCACAGCACGAGGGGTTCTCCTGGTTGCCATTCTGGGGTCACAGAGGATGGAGAGGCTGAGCCCAGGAAGGAAGGAGGGGTGGGAAGATGGGCAGCTGATGGTCTCTGGAGGCAGAGCCAGGGTGCAGGAGGCCAGTAGGCCTGGGATCTTCTAGACTCTTCTCTGGTGGGGTGTGGGGAGGAGGAGAGGGTGTCCCCAGGGCCCCGCAGAAAGGGCTGCACAAGCTCTCAACCAGCAGAGTCCATGCCTGCTTCTTGCCCCGCCCTCTCTATCAGCTCAGAGCCCCCCAGCAGAGCCTGGCCACTTCCCTGGGGGTTCCTTGGGCAAACCAGCACACCCTAAACTGACTACAGGGTCTGAGCAGCTCTAGAAGAGCCAGCGACTAAACCATCCTCCTGTGTCCTGTGCCCAGCACAGTGCCTGGCACTCCAGGGACACATGAGGAATGTTTGCTGTGAGCAGTGGAGTGGGAAGGGAGGGAGAGGCGTCATTTCCATGGGGCCTCCGTCACAGCACCAACTCAGGGAGTCCCTGGATTTACTTGACTTGCCCAATCCATACCCCTTCATCCCCTCTTTGGGATTTTGGGGCATAGTTCAGCCTTGGCTCCACTTTACCTCCACCTGGCCTTGTCGGGCTAAGGAGGCCAGAACCTGCTATGGGTGACTGCAGACAGGGCAGTGGGGGAGGCGCTTATGAGCAAAGTGGGGAGTGGGTTTCTGGAGGCCCTGATACAAGCCCCACTGCACATAGCAGGCAGCTTACCTCTCCCCCGAAAATACTGCACCTTGAGTCCCCAGGTGGTGAGGACAGGAGATGCCCCCATCCCAGTCTGGTCAACCCTCTGCCCTTTCTCCGGGGACCTCCTACCAGCGGGAACTCGTGGGACACCCTGCCATCAGGGGGCAGCTTGGCCCCGAAGCCAAGGGCGGGGAACATCTTGTCACTGTCATAGTGCTGGATGATCTCCCCGACGGCGGTCAGCGCCAGCGCGTAGGCGTTCAGCTGGTAGGGGCTCATGTAGTGCAGGGACGTGGACTGCGAGGGGTTCCCTGTGACACAGGACATAGAAACATTTGCTGGACTCCAAGTCGCTCCAAACTCAGAGTGCAGAAAGGGGTGTCCAAAGGCCTCCCTTTTATCTACTTCCCCTTGACACTTTCTCTTATCCCATATTCATTCCTTTAGCAAACCCTGGTTGTGGCGCCTTCGAAATATATCCAGAACCCCACCTGTTGCTCCCGTCCCCCACAACGCCACCATCCTCTAGCTTGTGGGATGGCAGCTGCCTCCTAAGTCATCTCCCTGCTTCTATCTGCAGCCTGCAGTCCATCCCCGGCACATCAGCCAGGGGGAGCCTGTCAGACCTGAGGCAGCTGATCACAGCTCTTCTCTGCTCAAAGTCCTCGTATTCACCTGCCATTAAACCCAAAGTCCTTACGAGACTCCACATGCCCGTCTCCTACCATCCTCCATGTCACTCACTCAGTCCCCGTCTCAGGGAGGCTCACAGGTCATCCCCGTCTCTAGCGCCCTCAAAAATGGCTGTTCCCCTGCTCTGGGCACTGTTCCCAGATATCACATGGTCTACTCCTTCACCTCTTCCAGTGACTCAAGGGTCACCTTCTGTGTGGCCTTTCCTGAGGAGCGAATTGAACGTCACGGCCCCTCCCAAGCTCCTATCCTTTCTCCTGGCTTGAATTTTCCCCACAGCTCTTATCTCCACTAAAGTCATCATATTTTGCATATTTGTTGACTAATGAGAGGCAGTACAGCATAGACTTCCAAGACACCAATCCTGTCTCTACCTCCTATTAATTGTATGACTTTGGATAAGTTCTTTAACCTCTCAGCCTCAGCTTCCTCATCTGTAGAAGGGGTTTTAATTGTCCCCAGTTGTAAGATTGCTGTGAGGATTACATAGGTGTTGTTATTACAACTCTCGTCATTGACATTATCACCAAGGCCCCTCCCAGCTCTGCCACCCTACCACTCTAGGAAGCTGGGACTGCAGTCCTGGCAGGGGTTTCTGACACACACACACCCCCCCAACCACCACCACCAGAGTGCGAGACCCGGGCATCTTCTGCCTGACACAGTAATGAGCACCGAGCACCGCAAAGGGAGCTTTAGAATCCAAGGAAGATGGTGATGTTTCTAACAGCATTAACTTCACTGTTGGGATTGCTCCTAGTGACCTGGTCACAGCCCCAAACTAGAGAAGGTCAGAGGGAAGCAAGCCGAGGCAGCCCCAGCAACGCCGAGGCCCAAGCCCAGGGCTGCGTGCCTGCCCTCACCCAGGACCACAGAGCTCAGTGTGACTCTAGCTCTCCCCTCCAGATGGTGGGATAGACACAGAGGACTGGGGTTTGATCCTGTGAAGAAACGCCTCTGCTCCAGGGCTCCTCATGGAGACAGGGTGTCCTCAAGGGCAAGGCTGTGCTAAGGGTATATAGGCCCAGAGTCCACAGCTCTTAGTGATCTTGGTCCAATCTGGTGATACCTTCGCCACTTGGATGGTATCTTTGGTCCTCCAGAGGCTCAGAGGCTCATCTCCAGTGAGGAGAGGAGAGAGAGCCGCAGCTCTAAGATGTCCTCTCTTCCCCCATGCCGTTCCCTGCCCATCCCCCCACTCACCATTGGAGGCGGTGAAGTCGATGGCCACTGTGAAGTTGATCTGGGTCCTAGCAGAGGGAGAAGGGCAGGAGAGTTACCTGGACAGAGGCAGGCCAGTGGGGAGGCTCACAGGTCAGGAGGGAGCTGAGAAACCTGGCTTCCACCCCAGCCTTGCTGCTTGTCAGGTTTCTGGCCTTGGGAAAGTCATTCATCTCTTTCCAGTGCTAGAAAACTGGGGGAGTAGTGCCAGCCTCACCCTCCCCCCAGTACTGTTGTGAGCATCAAAAGAGTTAAGCAGCATGAAAGGTCTTTGAAGATGATCTTGTACTCTGTGGGCACGTGGTTATAATTACTTATTTCCTCCCCAACCCTGCCCCTGGGCCCACCTGAGGCCAGTGATGTAGGGTCTCACTGCATTTCTGGCTCAAATTTGGAGTCAGATTTGGGGTTAAAATTAATTTGACAAAGAAGACAAATAGACATCATGCATCTCCTGAGGGAAGAACAAAATACCACCTTATAGGTGTGTCTTGCCAAGAACATTGCACTTGAATTCCGTTGAGCTTCTAGAGCTACCTACCAGTTGTTTATGGGTAAATACAGGGGACTGAGGAACAAGGGAAATGACACCATGGGGACAAAGCCAGCAGTACCCAGGCTGCAGGAAATTGTAGGAAGAGAGGCCTAAGGAACAGCAGCCTGGGATCCTGTGGGCACTTGTGAGGAGTCTCAGGCCCTGTAGACCTACTGAATCAGAATCCCTGGGTTGGGGGGCGTGTGCAGGAATTTGTTTCAGCAAACTCTTCAGGTGCTTGGAGGAATCAACCAATGAAAAGAGAATGAAGAGACCAATGAATCAATTGCAATATATAGCTCTTTGCCTGGATTTCTGATTTGAAAAGCTAATTAAAAAAAATTTTAAGACAACTGGCGAAATTTGAACAGTGACTAGATATTTGGTATTAAGAAATTGTTTGATTTAGGAGTGTAATTATGGTACGGTGATTACAAAGAGAGTCCTTATAGTTTAGAGATACACCCTGAAGTATTTGGGTGATGAACTATGTCTGGGATTTGCTTCACAATACCTGGATGAAGGGGAGAGTGCATGGAACAAGACTGGTCATGAGTTGGTAACTATGGAATCTGGGTAAAGGGTACTTGGGGGTTCATTTTACCACCTCTCCACTTCAGCTTGTATTTTTCCCTAACAAAAAAATTAGGTTTTGAGGATTCAGGTTCAGGGTGAAGCTGTCTAAAGATTTGACTGTTCTAGACCCTCATCTCTCAATGTGCTAGCTGCTGACAGAACAAAGCTACAAGACACAAGGCCCTGGTAAGGTCTAGTCTTAGGGTTCTCACATTGCAGTGAGCTAGTGTCACCGGCAGAGCTTAGTTAAAAAGAAGATCCCAGGACCCATTCCCAGGGATGCCAATTCACTTGGTTTGAGATGGGCCCCTAGAATCTGCTTCCTTAGCAGACATTCCTTGTCCTCATCCAGGGATTCTGAGGAAGGGTTCTCGGATGAAATGTGAGGAAACCGTTCTGGTGATTCCAAGTTGGGGCTAGTTACGATATAAGATGAGGCAGGGCTCATCTCATTGGCATTTAACAGATGGTCTCTATCAGAAACTACAGCCCTCTCTCCACTTATCACAGTTTAGCTGCTGCCCATGTAGTCTCCACCTCCCTTCCAGAATCCCACCCTGACTCACAATGGTCAAGGACATGGGTAGCAGGAGATCCAAGCCAGAGAAATCCTCCCAACACTCTCTCCCCCCTCATCTGCTGCCTGAGGGCAGAGCATCCAGTGGACTCCACAAGAGAGGGAAAGGGAGCCACAACGTGGCAAGAACCTGGGTCTCTGACTGACTGCATGGAATATCTTCCACCCGACTACCCTGCATGTGAAAACCCTTCATTCATATTACACCTTGAGGTGGAGGGATTTTTGTTATAGCAGTTCATCTACTCTGATCATCTGTTTTTTGTTGTTATCTCTCAGTGTGAAATATAGAGACTGCATCTTTGTTAGAGGAAAGGAGACATATGGAAGGTAAGAACTCTGCTAGGGGTGGTGGAGGCTGAAGAGGTGGGGACAGCCTTGGGAGGGTGGTTCTGGCCTACAGGATTACAGCTAAGGGACGTTATCAGGGCTTCCAAATATCTGGTGAGGAGAGGCAGGCCTTACTCTATAACCACTCTTCCCTTGCTCTGGGTTCTGAAAGAACTCAGGGAAGGAAGGGCCTGGAAAGAGGTGCTTTTGTGGGAAAATTAGTCCCTGCAGATGCTCCTCTCCTGCCTAAGGGCAAAGCAGGGCAGAAGGCAGGCTGCTGAGCAACTAGCTCCTCCTCTGATGTAAGTGCAGAAGTGCCCACACCCCTCCTCCTGGTCCAGGTGGGTGGAGTGGGGGAGATCTTCCCTAGACAAATGCCGCCATCCACTGCCTGCCTGGACACGCAGGGCAGGCCAGCTTGCTCTCTCCCTGGAGACAGTTCTCTCACTCAGGTTCTCCCCAGAGTTCCCAGAGAGGCATGGGGAGGGCTGGCTCTGGTGTCTAACCTGCCCAGTGCTCCTGGCACCACAGGACCTCACAGCACCCAGCCCTTTAACTCCTCAGGCTCCACCTGAGTCAACACAACACCCCTAGTGGTAAAGAGGGCAGGGCTAGGTCTATTCACTACTAGGGGAGAAATGCAGCACATGGCAACAATGGAGCCCTGCCGTGACCAGGCTGTGGCCCCTACAAGTTGTGTAAAGTGAAGAAACATCCTCACTCTAGCTGTGTTCTCTAAGTTGAGGGCACCATGCAAATGAGGAGATAAATGGGTGTGTTGGAGAAGGAGCCATTTGTGGGGGGAGGGGAGGGTAAGGGTAGGGTCTGGAATGGCTCAGAGGGGCAGGGAGGCCTCTGGGTGACTGGAGGGAAGGTGTGTACTCAGCTGATAGAAGGAGAGACTGCAGGTTCAAGGCGGCAGGGAGGGGAGTCACGGGAGAGTGAATGCGGCTTCCCAGGACCTGACGCTTCCCTCTGCCCCAGAGAACCCAGCAGCCAAGTTACTTGGCTAGGATGAGTCTTTGGCAGCTGCCCCTACCTGTCTCCTTTCCAGACAGGTGTAGTTACTCACCTGCCTGCACCTGTGGACTCTCGGCTGCCCATGCCCTGACCTGGCACCTGTGCTGGCAGAGCATATGCTGGGCGTCCTAGGACCTCGCCTTGGAGTCAGGCTTCTTTCTATGAGCTCCTGGCTGGAGCCTCCAGGCTGCCATGCCTACCTGGGCCTGGACTGACCCCTCTTGTTCTTTCTGTTTCAAACTAGTGTTTGACAACTAGTGTTGACCACCTGCTGGCCCTAGGACCATCCCCTGGCTCATGCCCCAGTCTCTCTGGCCCCTTACAGATCCCCGATGACCCTGAACAGGTGAATCACTGTTCCCCTCCCCACCATCCCACCCAGAAGCAGCAGAAGCTCAGAGCTGGGAGGAAACTTACAACTCAACTCACCTAGTGCCAACCCCTTTGTGTAGGAAGGAGGACACTGATGCCCAGGGAGGGAGGGTAATCTGCCCAGAGCAACCCAGCAAGTTCATAGCAAAGAGGGGCCAGAGCCTGGGCCTCCTGACTCTAGTCCAGGGCTCTTCCCACTTCCCCAGGCCCTTTGTTCTTTTTTGTCTTGGTGCAGCTGCCACCTCCCAGCCCCATCTCTGCAGGGGCACCTGACATGACACAGGCAGTCTCTGTGTTCAGGGGCCCCTCAGAGCCAGGGGCATCAGGGCTCTGGGTGACTTGTCTGAGTTCAGACACTGGGTTTCTGCTCAGAGGCCCGGATGGCTTTGGCCAGGGCCTCAGAGACGCCAGCGTGGGGCCTGGTTCTGTTCACATGGAGGTCTGGGGCCCTCTCCTGAGACATAAGAATCTGGCTGCATCTCTTCTCACCCTCCTTTGATGTAGTCAAGAAATGTGCACTCCGACTCCACAGCAAAGGAAAGCAGCGTGACCTTGAAAACAAAAGGGAGCTTGGTCAGCGGGGAGCACAGCAGAGGCAGCCGGCTTGCGGACAGCTACGGGGCACTAGCCATGTGCCAGTTTTGTGCACAGCTGCACACAGCGCCCATAGCAACCCTCACAAGTACTATGCTTAGCCCCATTTTATAGCCAAGGAAACTGAGGCTGAAAGAGGGGATGCACTGAGCCCAAGGACACAGCGGGGATGCGAATGAGATGGAACAGGGTTTGCTTTCTCTAGACCCTGAACCACTGACCTCAGTGCCAAATAGCATCCCCTGGGCACTGGGAAGCACAGGGCCTCACGCCTGAGCGTTTCCCCTGAGTCAGCACCAGCTTCTAGACCCAGGGCCCTGGCATGGGGTCTTGGGGGGCAAGGGGGTTTCCTGACACACTCTGCCAATGTTGACAAGTCCCACATTTGCAAGTGGGGTAACTAGTAATCCTACTAGTTACAAGTCCTACTAGTTACTAGTTACAAGTTACTAACTACAAGTCCTGGTAACTATAATCCCCTTTGGTCTGTGCTTACCTTACACCTTAACTTGTCCCATCTCATTCCTCTGGCACCTCTCAATCTCTAGCCTCTTAGACACAACACCGTCCTTTCTCTGAAGGTAACTGGTCAGAGGCCTCTTGGCCCACGCTCCCTGGTGGCTTTAGGATCAGCTTTGCCAAGATAGGCAGCTACCTGGAAGCTCATTATAACAATTTAGGATCCCAGTGGCAAGTGAAAGCTGAGCAGACTGAACCAATTAAATGAGGGAGATTGGAGTAGGAAACATTTTACCTGTGGAAGAAACTCCACTCCAGGATTTAGGGAGTTCCCCTCCCACCCTCCCTCCCCCGCCTACCCCACAGGTGCAGATTCATCCATCTCTGTTGACTCACTGGGTGGGCCAGGTAGGGCCTCTGCTTGACAAAGCTTATGAGCCATTAGCCCAAATAATGGGAGGGCCTGTGAGTGCTGAGCTGGGCCTTGGAGTCGCCTACCCACTGTGGTTAAGGTGTAAGGCACCTGGATGGCCAAAGCCCACTTTCCCAGAAATGGACTGTGGCAGGGGCTCCAACCTTGACTGATGATCATTAGATCCTTTGTGGCACTCTTAAAAAATAACCTCTTGGGGGCCTCCCCTGGTGGCGCAGCAGTTGGGGCGCTGGGCTGCGAAGCTGCCCGCAGTCTCTGCAGCACCGGTTCGATCCCCGGCCGCCGGGCGAGGGTCCCACATGGCGCGCAGACCTCTCCTGCCGCCCGCTGCTCCCCTCAGCAGTGTACTTCGGTCCTTCTGCCTGCTCTGCTCCCCGCTCTGGCTCTGGTGAATTCTCTCACCCTCCCGTGCTTCTGACTATACCCAGTGCTTGTATAAATAAATAAATAAATCTTAAAAAATAATAATAATAACCTCTTGAGGATGCCAGGCCAATTACTGAGCTTCTACAGGGGGGCTCTGGCCATGAATCTCCTCCACAAGTCTAACCTGCAGACGGGGACAAATACCCCTCCAGTCCCCAGATGAAGCTGTTCTCTAACCACCTAACAATATGGATTCACTCACGCTACTCACTGGCTACTCAAAGTGTGGTCCCTGGACCAGCAGTATCAGAATCACCTTGATACTGGTTAGAAATGCACATGGTAGTAAACTATTAAAATCACTAAACACAGGTTCCTGCGGCCTAGCCTGGCGCTCCTCAAATGGAACCCCTGGGAACTGGCCTGGGTATCTGTATTTTCATAACCATTGTGATTCTTCAGGGTCTGGGGTTGCAGTCTATCTGACACTGATGACTAAGTTTGACTGCATTAGATAACAACACTCCAGACCTCCAGAATGGGAGGGACACAAAGGGTATGAGCTTGGGTGTGTTTGTACTACAAAGACATTGGCTTGTCCTATAAATGCATTGTGGGTTCCACCTCAGGGCCTTTGCACATGCTGACTCCTACATCTAGAATTCCCTTTACCCAAGAGTCTCAATACTTGCTCTCTTGCTTCTTTGGAGCTCTGCTCAAATATTACCATCTCAGAAAAGTTTTTCTTGACTACCTTATATAAAATAATAGTTTTCCCTTTATGTTATTAAATATTTTCCCACATACAGTATATGTGTGTATGTGTGTGTGTGTGTGTGTGTGTTTTCTGTCTCCTCTACTACAATAGAAGCACCATGAAGACAGAGTTTTGGGTCTATCTTGTTCCTAGCTATATCCCTGTGCCTAGAACAGGGCCTGGCACATGATATGTTCGGTGAATATTTGTTCAATAAAGGTCTGAAGGTCCTGAAGATGGGCCCCCAGGAGCCACCGGGCTGTGACACTCCAGGATGATTGTGACTACAGCAGCCGCCAGCACTGACTTTAACTGCAGTGCTGAGTCCATCTCTACCACTTTCTAGAGGTGTGACCTTGCTTGAGTCACTTTCCTGCCTGAAGCCTTGGTTTCCTCTTTCATGACAAGGGGATGAGGATATCTGCCTCTCAGGGAAACAATCTAAGAAAAGCACCTAAATGGGGAATTTCCCAGAGTAGGGCCCATTAAATACTGCTCCTTTCCCTCTTCCTTCCTGCAGGAAGTGCCCCTGTGAGTTTCTCTCAGGAATTTCTCATTCTGTATCACAGTTGCTGAGCCACCTCCACCCTAGCCCCTGGGCTGGGCTGTTGCTCCATCGACTCCTCCCCTCCCCACCCCCAGCCCTCAGGGTCTGGTTCCCACACTCTGCAGACACACACGACTCCCTGACACCAGACTTAGCTTGGGGCTTAGAATGTCTACACCCAGGAGAGAAAGGGTAGCTAGCTACTCACTGTGCCAGAATTCACGTATTTCTTTTTCTTCATTTTCTTTTTTGGGTTTACCACCTGCAAGAAAACCAATTGCCACTTAAGAGCTTCCAAGCAGTCAGGGCTGCTTTCAAGGTTTCCAGGACCCCTGAGTGTGGCCCCACCCCCAGCAAGCAGAGTGTGGGGTGCGCAAACCTGGGGGCCCAGGGGAGGAGGATTTTGTGGGGAGAATGCATTTAGATTTATGAAACTAGTCTTCCCAACTCGACCCAACGTCCCACGACCAAACACACCAGGAATAATATTTATTTAACCTTCTTTCCCACTGTTCCTCCAAACACGCCCTCTGCCCAGAACAGCCAAAAGAGGCTGGACGTCTCGATGTCGCAAAAGGGCCCCTGTCTGTGCCTGCCCCGTGTTGGCTCACGCTATTCCTTGGACCTGAAACACCCTCCCCTGTCCCTCCACCAAATCCTATCCTCTGGCTCTTCAAGATCCAGTCCAAGGGCCATGCTGGGGACCACAGCTCCACCCCCATCACCCTTGCACTGCAGTTAGAATCTCCCTCCCTGTTCTTCACCTGCCAGCTTTCGTTTCAAACCAGACCTATCAGTGGAGACTATCACAGAGCTAGGTACATAGTAGGTGCTAAAAATAAACCTGTTGGGTTAACTCAGTGGTCTCAATTGGGCGTGATTTTTGCCACCCAGGAGACAGTGGCAATGTCAAGAGACATTTTTGGAGTAGTGAGAGGCAAGGGGTGTTTCTAAACATCACACAACACACAGGACAGCCCCCCACACAAAGGTGTCCAGTGCCAGGACAGTGATGTGGAGGCTGGGGAGCTGTGGGCTCCGTGACAAGGGCCCCCTCACCTTGGGAGCCCTCCACGGCTCTTTCATGATGCTTTTGTACTTGTTTGTGCCCGCTTTTGTGTGTGTGTTTTTCACATGGGACATCCAGGCACAATCTTTCCCTAATCTCCCACCAAACAAAGCAAGGCGATTTTCACACCATCTGTCTCTGCAAGTCTGTGGTGAAGTCATTTCCCCCCTCCCACATCTATTTCTGCTGTGGGAGCCAGCCTCATCTTTACCCAAGGTCTCTTCTGCCTTAATGAGGATTCACATTCATTTCTGGAGATAAGGAAACCAAGGCACAGAGACACCAAGAGGTTCTGTAAGGTCATACAGAGGGTCAGGTAAGTGACAGGATTAGAAACCAGGTTCCTGCCCTTAGGCTAGCGCTTCAGACCTGGTGCCTCCCTGATAACAATCACAAACACATCTTTTCATAAAGATGTGTGGGCTGGACATTGGGACCAAGTCCTCTTCTCACAGATCTCTACTCCAGTCAGAAAAAGAAGATAATGAGGCTACAGGGGACAAGAGCCACCCACACAGGAGAGCCAGATTAGTGTGAGGGAGGCAGAGGAAGGAGAGACCACTGCAGGAAGCACAATCAGTGAAGGCTTCCTGGGGCAGGTGGTATTGGAAGTGGACTTTGAGGGACAGGAAAGATTTGGGCATGGAAGGATGGAGGGCAGGCATTGTAGTCTGAGGAGATATGAGGAGTAGGGTACAGGGAGCTCAGAACTGGATTTCAGTTTGATTGCAGAGTCAAAGAATGGAAGAGTAAATTGAGCTGTTTAGAAGAAAGCCTAGAATGCCTAGTTAAATGTCCAAGCATCACCCACCATCTATCCAGAAACTTCTCTAAGTAAACAGATGTCAAGATCACAGCAGACTAGAATGCTGGGAACTGGTGGAGGTGAATATTAAAGAAGGGACACCTGGGTGATGTTCGCCAAGTTCTGCCTCCTAGCAGCTATGTGACCTTAGCAAGTTAGGTAACCTCCCTGGGCCTCAATTTCCTTATGTGTAAAATGGGAATAAAAGGCACCAACTTCTTAGGAAGGTATGGGTGTTTCCGATGGAGTCTGGAATGCAGTAAGTACTAAAACCATGTCAACTGCTACTTTTTATCACTACTCTACCACTACCCCGCCATTCCAGGTGAGTGGTGATGAAGGACAGGTACCGAGCTACAGACAAATCAATATTGTCAAGAAGCGACCACAGATCTTGGGCTTTGAGAGTGGCTGTGAGGTAGGAGAGAGAGACAGGTAGACACAGAAGGAAGAACTGGACTGGGACACAGATGGGAAGTCCGGATGGAAACCCAGGGCCTGGAAGAGAGGCTGAGAAAGGAGCCCAGAAAAGCTGTGGAGCAGCCACAGGCCCCTCCGGCTGCCCAGATGAAGGGCGCTCAGGGACACACTGTGGGGAGTCTTACTAGGTAAGCTGCTGAGATGAGGGCACCATTGAAACCCCAATGCTACACTGTGCCTCAGCTTCCCAATCTGTCCCATGTGGGTGTGAAACTTAGAGCTGAGTGCAGCTCACGCTGTTACTCCACGACAGCCCTCCCGGCTGAGGAGCAGGAGCGCGGACTTTCGGGCGTCTGGGTGTGGTCCCAAGACCTGGCCACAGACACAACCTTCCTTTGAAGTCGTCTGTGCTCTCCTTAAATTAGCCCATATGCCACATTTCCACCCTTAATGATCACTGTTTTCATGTAAAAGCAGTGTTTTGTTCTCAGACCTTCATGTGAAGTGGGCACTGAAGCGCCCCGTTGATCCTGGGGTTTCATGGGCGCTCCCCAGCTCATACCCTCCCCCACCTCCCAGCCTCTACCGCCAGAAATAGCCGCATCCCTGAGTTCTGTGTGGGGAACCAGTGCCCCCTAGAGGCCATCCAGGAACCACCCAACTCCTGGGCTGAAATTCCAAGCCTCTTCTCCCTGTGGTCACCACCCTCCTCCTCTCCTCTGGGTCAGAAGACATTGAGTGGCCCCCAGGGGCCAGGAGCTGTGCTGACTCGGGATAAACACCGAGTATGACAGCCCGTGCCTGAGACCGATGGTCTTTTCAGGGTGGGAAGTAGGATAAACAGGTAATAGAGACAGGGGCAGGGGTGGGGGGCACAGGAGCACCAGACACTGGGGGATAGAGTAGGTGTGCAGGCAGAGCAGGCTTCCTGGAGGAGAAGGTCCAGTAGATCCAACCAGGTGAAGGATGAGGAAACCCCAGAGGAGGCAATAATTGTGTGAATGGAACCACAGAGGCCAAGCTAGCATGGAGGGTCTCAGAACCTCAGGCAGCACGATCTGGCTGAAAGTGGGGATGGATAAGGGAAGGGGCCAGGGCCAGACCCTAGGGCCCCCTAAGGGTGTGGGGTGTATGTGTATGTGTATGTGTGTGTGTGTGTGCGCACGCCCACTGCTTGTGCACAGCTTGCCAGAGGCTGGGGCATAGTGTCAGCAGGAAGCTCCATGTAAAGGAGCTTGGATCTACCCCACAGGTTAAAGGCCCTGTTGGATCTCAGCTGATGTGGAGAGTCTTTCTGAATTTCCTCCCTGCTCCCCTGTGCGGTCCAGGCTGAGGTGCTGGGTGAGATGCACAGCCAGATTTTAAGCAGGGCAGAGGATGTGGCCAGGTTACCATTTAGAAGGAGCACTCAGGTTACTGAGTGGAGGATGGAAATCAGCAGGAAGTGGTTAGGGGGCTGTTCAAAGTCCCCATGCAGAGGAGATTATGGCAGCAGGAGTGGACAGGAAGTGAGGGGAACAAAGGTCAGAATATTCCCATGGCATAAGAGTTGGGGCTCAGCTGTGGATTGGATGTGAGGGTGGGAGGTGTCAAGGATGAACCTCCAGGTGCCAAGGACCTGTGAAACAGCTGACTGGCCAGGGGGCAGGAGAGCTGTGGGAAGGCTTTAGCCAAGGTGGTCAGTTTGGGAAGGCTGAGCGGCCAGCACACAGACAGCTAGAGAGACAAGCCTCACACACCCTGGGTGATGCCAGGGCCTGAGACTCTAGAAAAGCCTTCCTGAACCCAAATTGGATCCCCATCTGTCTGTCTCTGTCTCTGTCTCTCTGTCTCTCTGTCTCTCTCTGTCTCTCTCTCTCTCTCTCTCTCTCTCTCTCTCTCACACACACACACACACACACACACAAACACACACACAGAGTGCAAGGGCTGCTGTTAGCTTCCCAGCACTGCAGTTTCTCTTGTAGACTGCAAAGGAACAGGAATCAGCCCGAGAGCTGAGCCAAGCAGCCCGAGGAGTCAAATCCCTAAAAATGTCCTTGTAAGTGGCCAGAGACTGAACCTGTTTCTTTTTCTTGGGCAGTGGAGGTAGTAATTTGATTTCTTTGAAAGGGTCAGATCCCTTTCAAAGATTTCACCCACGCTTCATCTTCACAACAGCACCAGAAGTTCTTGTGATGCATGATCAGCACCTACTTTGTACCTGGCAGTGCCCAGGCCAACATGAAGGAGGCAAGAGAAAGTGCTGCCCCCTTGCCTGGCATGGGGAGCTTGTCTAGCTGAACAAAGACCTGCCCACCAGAACAGCAATAGAGAATGAGGTCTGTGTTCAGATTTGGACTCCAGGATGAAGGTCAAATCTAACTTTTCAACGTCACTGGCTGAGTGACTGTTTATAGAGACCATTTGTAGGATGATTGTGAAATCTCCTGGCACACAGGTGCTGAACAGATGATGCTGAAAGCTAACCCATCATATTTACGAGGGGCTGGACATTGTTTTAGTGACTTAGATAATCTCAGTGTGCATGGCAGAGTGGTTGGGGAATCTTGCCAAGGTCACATGCCTAATAAGTGGCAGAGTTGGGATCTGAATCCTCCTTTTAGGGCTGTAAGTACCTGCCCTTAAGTGGGTTTGGCATGAACTGTGCTGTCTATGAAGTTCAAAAGAGGGCGAAGTCTGGGAGGCCAGCATGGCTGGGAAGGTCGCTCAGAGGAGTGGGACCTGAGCTAGATTTGGAAAATGGGGAGGGCATCCCAGGAGGGAGAGCACACCAGCCAGGGCTCAGCGCAGAAATCGCCCTATGAGGGCAAACACGATTAATCTCCATGTCTAGATCAAGGTATCCTGAGTCCTGTTCCTTTGGCTCTTTCCTTCTGGAAAAGGTAAGATCTTCACAGGCCCTGAAACTGTTCTGATAGAAGGCAGAGGGCCACCTTGAACTCAGGACCTCGGGTCTCAAGCCCAGAAGCTTCCAATACTCTCCCCCACCTTCCGCCCCATCCCCACATCTATCCCTCACTTTGTTGGAAGTGCACTTTTGGGGAGCACTATAACTCAGTGATTTGGAGCCAGGCAAGCTTACGTGGTTTGTCTCTTGATTCTACCACTGACTGAATTATGTGTCTTTAACCAGGGTCCCTAATTTCTCTGCGATTCAGTCTCCTTAATTGTAGGATGGAACACTAGCACCCATTTCCCAGGAGAACACACAAACCCAACCCCCACCCACAGCTTAGCGCTTGGCTCCCAGCAGCCCTCAGCAATGGGGAGCTATGTGTCAGCAGAGCCAAGCCCAGACATGGGGTGTCCACCTCACCTCGTAGATGTTGAATTGGCTCTGCCCGCGGGCCAGCTCCCGGTAGCTGGTGGTGAATTCCCCAATGAAGTCATGGCTGTAAGGGAAGGTGGCGCTGAGAGTTGAGGCCCAGGCTGCATCCTGCCTCCTCCCAGTCCCCTCCCCGCCTCCCCTGCCTCCCATGATGCTCCAGGGCACATGCCAGCTGAGAGGCTGGGTCCCTGGGGAGAGTCCAGTGTCTCCCAGGGAGGAAGAAACCCAGTGGTCACCTAGCAGAGAGCAGGGTCCTGGAAAACAGACCCTGATCTTCCTTTGATTCTTGCTTTGAGTCAATGAAAGGTATGTTGGGAACAATTAGGGAAATTTGAATATGACATGAATATTAGATGGTATTCAAAAATTATTGTTCAATCTGTCAGGTGTGATAATGGCATATGTAGCTATGTAGGAAACGGTCGTTATTTTGTCGACATTTCCAATGACCTATTCAGAGGTAAAAATGCCGTGATGTCTGTAATTTAAACTAAATCAGTAAAACATAGCTGAAACAGAGATAAATATGGCAATCTTTAACCATTGTTAAATTCAGGTGATAGGCTTAGAGGTGCTTATTAAACTTTTCTATTTTTCTGTGTATTTGACATTTTTCTAATAACCATTCTTAAAAAGACAATCAGAGCTGGGGGAGATTTCAACATTGTCTGCCCCTTTTGGGCTCTCCCTGACTAGTGAGTGTTTATATCAGGTGCAGCAAAAGTTAGTACAAAGCGGAACTCCCATCTCTCCTGTGGCCGGCTGCCTCTCACCCTGGCCCTGGCAGAGGGTGATGGCTGATGTGCTGGCATGGGAGTCCGCTAGTGAGTGATAGCAGGAACTGTCCCTGAGGCCTTGCCTGGAGCCTGGAGCCCACGCTGTATTCTGACTGCATATTTACAGTGCTCAACATTCAGATGAGCTCCTGTGGAGGCCCCAGTGGCACCTGGTGGCTGCCCCCAGCTGACATGGAAGAGAACATTCCCCGTAAAGAAGTGTGGGGAACTTATGGTAAGAAGAGGCAAACATGGGTGGAAACAAGAAGTTGACTTGGCTGGGAAGTGGTTAAAGAGGAGGGAGAGAAGGATAGGGCGGCTTAGTAGAGACAGAGTTGGCACTGGAGTTTCTCTATAGGAAGGTCTCAGGGGAGGTGGAGTCCTTGGGAGGGGCTGCGTTTGCACAGTCCTTTACCCAAGATGAGACATTAAGTCCCATCCACACCACAGACTTGAGAGGCCCCAGTCATGATTATGGGCTTAAAGCCCCTCTAGCACAGCCCCTGGCATTGCCACCCAATGCAGGGGTCAGGAAGACATATTTGGACTTGGTTCAACAGCAAAGTAGGAATCAGTGTGGCTCCCGGAAAAAAGCTGTGAGAGACCCTATCTTGTTCCTATCTATGAATTCCTTGGGAGGCACTGGACTTCCAAAGACCCTGATGGAACTGAACTCTCAGCATCCAAACTGGGTCCCACTTGGCACTGCCTTATGGCCCACCCCTCAGGCTCCTCACAATAGCTCCTCTGAGGAGCCAAGGGCTGCCTTGTAGGGAGAATCTGAGAGCCGAGCATGTCTTTTGCACCTCAGCCAGCCCACGGCGCTTAGCTCAAGGTCTCACAGAGAATGTGCCCATGAAGAGTCAGGACGTCACTGTTACTAAACTCTAGAACATGTACATTTTTAGAAAATGGTAAATTTCACCAAATGTAGGGAGACTGCATGTAATGGCTGGCTGTTAGGCAGTTGTTTGGGGGAAAAGGAAGCCTCGTGGGCCCCTCATACCATATCCTGCAGGACAGAGGGCCTCAGTGGGGCTAGGTGAGACAGGCGGCAGACAGCAGCTCTCCCACAGGAAACTCCAATTCCCCTCTCCCCAGATGAGAGCAAGGCCCAACCTCCCACAAGTGGCCGCCCCATCCCTGCTCACCTTCTGCCCTTTCACTTGCTTACCTGCCATCTCGATCCCAGTCATACACCTCCACCTTGATGGTCCTGTAAGATAAAGGGTCTGTGGTGGGATGGGCTTGACCTAACACCAGAGTGGGCTGAGGATGGAGCCCTCCTCATGCGTCTGGGCCAGGAAATGTGGGGACATGGACCAGGGTCCAGAGCCCTTGGGGAAGAGATAACAGGCAGGAAGACAAAGGGATGTTCTTGAGGCCTTTTAGCAAAGATCTGAGGGATGAGGCAGCTGTGCAGGGACTTGTGGCCTCAGACTTCAGCTTACCCCACCTTGTCCCGGGCCACCCCGGATCGGGCAGAGGTCCCGCCATGAAGCCATCTGTGCATTTAGCAAGGGGGGATCATCCTGGTGGGGGGCGTGGCATTCTCAGGTCCCAGACCTCAGCAAGGTGGGGTCCTGGGGTCCGAGCAGTTTGAATAGTGAGGAAGTAGCCCTTGATGTTGGAGATGGGCCCAGGGGCCCTGATTTTCCATGCAATGACTGGCTCCTGAGTGAGGGTGTAATTATCTTCACATTTTAGCCTGGCTGCTTGAATTAGTTTGTTTTGACTCCTGTGCATGGGGCTGGGCTTTGGGAGCCCATTTTATTTTTAGCCGGTTTCCATGGCAACAGGCTAGCGGACCAGAGGCAGTAGGAGGGAGGTGGAGGGCTGCAGGTTAACCCTTGGTGCTGGCGGTCCTCCAGGGATGCCCAGGGATGGGGAGCTGCCAGGGTACCACCAAGGGGCAGGGACTGGGGAGAGGGGAGAGGTCTGGTGAGCCCGGGTCTCCAGACTTCGGTTCTAAATGGGGCTCACAGAGGCGGCTGCGTGGGCTTGTCTTTTAACATATCATCTTGCCCATGGCCACAGCCCATCTCCTCGGGTCTGTGGAGTCAGTCTTGGGGTTCTGGAACTCCCAGAAGGAGGCGCTGTCTCCCTTCAGATGAACCTCCATGGGGCATAGGGGTGGGGGTAGATTCCCCTGCCTCAGGGCAGAAATTGTTTCCCAATGAAAGAATGCCCGAGACCGTGTGCACTGCTGGGATTTTGTTGCCAAAATGGAAAAGGGGGTCAGGCGTAGAATAATAATAAAGATTTCTTTAAATTCCTGTGGAAAACAAAACCTATGTCTCTTGAAGGGGAATTACTGTCAAAATAAAAAAAACTCAGCCCCTGGAGGTGGGCGGTAGTCTGGAGAGTGGGGAAGAAACTGCGTGCACTTGGCTTGACACAGGCACCTATCTGTGGGACCTGGATGTGACCTGGCTGACCACAATCTACCATTTTAAAGAGAGGATAGGGCCTCCCCGCTGGTGCAGCGGGTTGAGTGCAGCGCTGTGAAGCTGTCCGCAGCCTCCGCAGCACGGGTTCGATTCCCGGTTGGCCAGGGAGCTACCCACGTGGCACAGCAGACCTCTCCTGCCTCACCCGCTGCTCCCCTCAGCAGTGTTTCTCGTCCGTCTGCCTGTTCTGCTCCCTGCTCTGTCTCTGGTGAATCCTCTCCCTCTCCCGCGCCTCTGGCCTGTACCCCAGCTATTGTATAAATAAATAAATCTTAAAAAAAAATAGAGGATAATAGTGGCCCTGCCAAACAGATACAAAGACAATTGTAAAGCCCACTGGAAACCCGGGAGCGTCTCTATAAAAGTGCCTCCTCTCCACTTTATATTTGGTTATCCTAGGATAGTTTTTCACATGAAATTTACTTAAATCAGGGATACCTGAACCTGGGTGCCTGGGATCTGGAACTTTCCATGCCTCGGATGATAAGGCTAGAAATTACCTTGATGGCATCCCAGGAAGATTACACACAGACAGACTCCAGGTCCAGTTCTCTGCAGCTCTGGGTGGGGCCCAGGAATCTATTTTACAGGCTTCCCTGTATATGTGCTAGGGCGATGACCTCTAGTCCCCTCATTTGCAAATGGGAAACTGAACCCTAAGGGTCTTAGTAATCAAGGGTCACATGCTGTGAGGATTCTGACTCAGGAGACTGCCCCACATTGCTAAGTCCCTCAGCCCTTCCCCAGAGACCTCCAGCTCTGCAGGGGACCTGCAGGGACCCCAACAAAGAGGGTGTCTCTTCACACCACCAACGCCAGCCCCTCAGGTGACTAGATCAGGGACAGCCACATGCTCAGAGATTGTAGGTGGACCTGACAGTCCCCACAGTCACAGTCTTGAATAGCCAAAAAAATCACTGAGGTTTAAAAAAATTCCCACAGCCAGAGGGCCTGATTTCATTGGTCTGCATGGTACTCTAGCATGGGTAGTTTTGAAAAATTCCCTTGCTGGTTCTAATAGGCAGCCAGAGCTCCTACTTCTATAGAAGAGAGAACTGGTTCTCAACTTGGTTGCACACCAGACTCCCTGGGGAGTTTTGTAGCCTGATGCCCATGCCTCACCACTAGACATTAAGACTCAACTGGCCTGGGGTGCAGCCCAGGCAGGGCATTGTTAAAAGCTCCCAGGGGATTTGAGCTTACAACTGAGGTTTAAACCACCAAATGTGAGGTTCCTGTGTAAACTCAGTCCAACCACAGTGGAGACTCCAGAGATGGCTGCATTCTGGGGGTGAGGTTAGTCCCGAGGCTGTGACATCCAGCCCTGGGGGAGAAGGAGGTATGAGAAAAGGTTCCCAGAGGGAGGCGGAGACAGCAGCAGAAGCCAGTTACAGCTTTGGCCATTCTGATGACAGTTCTGTTGCTGCTCAGCCCTGGCCATGCTGCCCCAGGTCACCTCACATGCCACTCATGGGCCGCAGCCTAGGGCTCCCAACCCCTTAGCATAGGCCCCACAAACATGTCCGATCAGCTGTGACTTCTAGGGACAACACCCAGGAGAAGGGACTTCTGAGTGTGGGACAATAAAAGGGGCCTCTGCTGCCCACAACGTTTGTCATGAATGGTCTGGAACACGGAGTCCCTAATCTGGGAAGCAGTGGGGTGAGCAGGGAAGACCATGATTCTGGGGTGGGCAGCCCTGGGGGGCAACCCCAGCTCTTCTGGGAACTAGCTGGAAGGCCCTGTGCAGCTGGCTTCACCCTTGGGACTATTTACTCCTCTGTCAAATGGGCTAATCACAGCCACTGTGGAGCTGCTGTGGAGGTCAAGGGCATCACTCACAGGTGGGCAGCATTGGACACGTGGATTCTGTTCCCATCTAACACACTCAAGCCTCTTCTCTGAGCTCCTGCCTCTCAAACAATTCCCATTCACCACAAAAAATGTCAGCTGTGCGGGGCCAGGGATTTCTGTTTGTTTTGTTCACTGCTGTCTCTTCAGTTTCTAGAATAGTGCCGATGCATATATTAGGTGCCCAATAAATATTTGTCAGCTGACTGATTGCCTAACAACTTTGTGAAGTGGCCCACACAGTAACAACAGGTTCACTCCACACAAACACAAAGGGAGCCCAGAGAGGCGGCTTCCCCAAACCACACAGAGCCAGCAGGGACTCCAGGCCTCGGGAACCTGGGCCCTGTGGTCTCTGGATGCTTGGGTCAGAGCGACAGAGGTCAGAGCCGGCGGGAGTGTGTGGGGGCAGTGTGAGCCTCAGTGGGCCCACAGGTGACAGGGACCCTGGCAAACAGGCCGGGCTTCCCTCCCAGTGCAGCAAGCAGCACTATCCATAGTCTCCCCACAGCCCAAGTGCAGGTCTGCTTCCTAATGAGCCACTCCCAGGCAGGAGAAGGTACATTTCACTGCTGCTCACAAATGGGCTGGGGTTGGGGGGAGCCTGTTGACAGGCCCTGAAAGGTTCTTCTCAGCTGACTGAGTCATTCCAACAGGCAGAGAGGCTTCAGGGAGGAAGGGGAGCAGGGCCTCACTGAGATGAAACCGGTCTGGGACTGGAGGGCACAGAGCAAACACCAGGGGGACTGTGGGCCTCAGGGTCATGGCAGTGAATTTACCTCCTCTGTCTGCGCTCAGCTACTGCGAGTGTGAGCAAAGGGTGCTAAGAAGCCCTTCAGGAGGGGCACACATGTTCATCCTGGGACCTGGTGATGGGAAAGCTCTCCATTTCCAGGAATCCTCTGCTCGCTTCAGGTGGGGCCCAAGTGTATTAACACTCTCTTAGAATCCACTCATTCAACATTAGGCTGAGAAGAAATAATAGCGGCCAGATCCAGGGGAACCTAACAGGGACAAGCTGTCAAAGTCACAGTGGGTCAAGGACAGAGTAAGGAGGGCTTTGGGGAAGGCAGGGGAGTACTTCTTGCTATCACCCCACTTCATCCCACAGCAGGGCTGCACTGGCTCTCATCCTGAGGCCATCTCCTCTGACTCCAGCTCTGCTCAGTTGGGTCTCGCAGGTTTGACCTCACATGGACTGAAGATACAGCAAGCCATGGGGTCCCCAAAACAGAGGGCCAGCCCAGAGGTGACTCCTGGAGAAGGGACGTGTATCTGCTCCTGTCCCAGCAAGTTACATGATCTCTGATCCTCTGCTTCCCTATGTGAAATGGGCATATCACTAATACCCACCTCCTAGGGTTACTGTGACATTTAAATTCACAAAATAAGAAAATGTATTTAAGCCAACTACAACACAATTTGGCCCATGTCTTAAATGCGCAGTAATTTTGTTAATATTAGCTGGTTTCCACCCCCCATCATTCCAATGAAACTGCCCTTTCTTAAGAGGTTCCTGGTGCTCAGCTCTGGCTGTTTTTCACAGTATATCAGGTCCTCAAATAACATCCTTTCTTTCAAGTAATTCCCTTATAAAGTTGACGAGACCAATCTCTACCCAATGCTGAGACATTATTTGAAGACCCACTTTCACTATACATGGAAGTTTCTGGAACCTGTCGATGAGTTAATTGAGGACTTACTGTAAGAGCTGATACTTCTATGTGACTTTTCCTCTCAGTTCCCTGCCCATGCCAACCTCCTCCTGGCCCTTCCTGTTGCTTTCTGCTCATCAACTCTTCTTTTTCCTATTCCCAACCTGTGGCACAGGGCCTGGGGGCTTGGGGTCCCGACCTCCATCGGAGTCCCCTCCTGGGGGGGGGCTCCCAAGCTCTCTCCTTTTTCCTTCCTCCTCCAAGGAACACCTCAGGCCTGTCCCACAGCAGCCCACTCTCCACGAGGCTAAAACTAGGCCCACCAATTCTCTCCCCTACCCTTCAACTGTAGCAACAAATTTGCAAACACAAACATCATTCTTATAATTTAAGGAGGCTCTTTTTTTAAAAAATGGGTTGCGTATGGTCTGTAAAAGAAAAACACATAACAATATCTGTGCATGTGAGGGACTCTGGCTCCAGGCACACTCGCTGTTTCTGTCAGGGCTACCACCTTCTCTGGTGCCCCAAGCCCGAATGATCTGTCTCAGATCTGATCAGTCTTTTTTGAGTCTTCCGTCTGGCTGCCCCTCTCGCTTCTTCTCTTCTCTTCTCTATGAATCATTTGGAAGTGGATGCTTGAGTCTGGCACTTTAGACCTCTAGGCCTTCTCTCAATCATTTGGGGTTAAAGTAAAAAGGACCGGCAATGCTTTCAGGACTAAAACCTGCCTGAGTACAAATCCTGGCTGTGCCACTGACTGGGAGTAAGACACTGGGTGAGCTACTTACTCTTCCTGGGCCTCAGTTTCCTTAATTGTAAAATGTGAAGAGTACTCCTATTAATACAAATGGCTGGGACGATGAAGTTAGTTCACACACATAAGACACTTAGAACAGGGCCTGCCCCACGGTAAGACCTACAGGAGCCTCTGCTATTATTACCACCTGTCTGTCTCCTGCACCGGCCTGGGAGGCTTGGGTCTGACGTCTCAGAATGCGCGCAGCATGCAACATAGTGCCTGGCACCTGGCTGGATGGAAGCCACTGCTGCTGGGGCAACCCACTGCTCTGTGAGGCTACAGAGTTGCCTCAGAAGTAAAGGGGAATGGCTTCATTCTCCTGCACAAGGCCCTCCCCCTCCTGCCCTGAGAGTCTGGACATTCACACCTCCCTAATGGCTATTGGGTATGTGGGTTACCCTGGGGCTCAGTGCAGGACAGGGGTCACTGTTGTTCACCAAGCCAGCCTGGCCCTTCCAGGAACATTAGCCTCACACTGTCAGCCTGTTCCCTGTAATGAAGAAGGGCCCAAGCTGCCCAGTCATCCTGGAGGGACACCAGGCCAGGGATCAGCCTGGCAGGGGCAGATGGGAGGCTGCCTGGGCTCTCCCACCCCCACCTGCATCCCCTAACTGTGTGCTCACCCACTCAGTGGCTGAACAGTGAACCCAGGCCTCTGAGTCTCTGTCCGCCTCACTGTTCTGACAAGACTGGGTTCTGAGGTCTTAGGAGCCCCTCCTTAGGGATAGTCTGATAGAGGGTTGAAGGGGGGTCAAGTGGACCCCCAACACCTCTGGGCAACAGGGCTTCCACCCTGTGAGATGTGAACTGCCATGCTTTCCCACTCCCCAGTTGTGAATTTCCTCTCCATCCCAAGCATTCTTCCCACATCCCTCTCCCCAGGAACCCAACCCCACTCTGCCCAGTCCTCCTGAGCCTCCTTTAGACCCCACTTCCCCTACCAGATTGTCCTCCCGTCTCCCACCCACTTCAGAAGCCCCAGGACACAGCCAGACATGTAATGTTTCATTTGGCTGAATGCCTCTTTCAGTCCCAGCCTCATTTTGCTCAATTATGTAGCTATCTCAGATACAAGTATTCACACGGGAGCTCCTGTGGTCAGGCTACAACTCCCTGAAGACAGAAATGTGGCTCCATTGCCCTGACTACCGCACACCTGGAGGCCTAAGGCACATCTTGATGACACCTATGAAGCAGATTGTGGCTTTTCTGTCCCAGCCAAGAGGCAGGAAAAGAAGCCACCTCATCCCCTGTATCAGTGGCCTAACAGCAGCCTACGGGTTTCCTGGAGGGAGACAGGGGTGCCAGTGGCCTTCTGTCGGTTCACTCTTGCACCCTCCGCCCCCACCAGTGTCAGAAGCTGCTGTGAGAAGGATTCCTGGGCGCCCATGTCACCAGTCAGGATGCCCTGAGTGTCTGTTTGACATCCCAGTGTTCCCACCTGAGTGGCCAACAGAGACCCGGCTTGCTTGAGACTGCTGGGCATCCTTGCTCGCCCACCAGCTGCAGAGTCAGCAGGAAGCAGGCTGGGTTCTTATGACTTAGCACAGACCAGCGCCATCCTGCAGCTCCTGCCTCACAGGCCGCCCCACTCCCCGGCACTTCCACAATTTGTAATTATATGTTTCTTTGTGAGATTATTGGATTAATGTCTGCCTCCCCCACTAGCACACAAACTCCTTGAGGTTGGGTGAAGGGTGAAGACTGTTTTTTTCCCTGCCAACTTCCCAGCATCTCGCATGGTGCCTAACACATGGCAGGGAGTCAGTCGGTAAACACTCGGGGATGAAAGGCTGAATTTGGTATTTTATGCCCACCAAAGCCTTCTTGTGTGGGCTGTGTCCTGTGAGCTTCAAAGCAGTCCTATGAGGTAGGCAGGTGTGTCAATGCTCATTTGACAGATAAGAAAGCTGAGACTGGGGTCTCCTTGGTGGCGCAGGGGTTAAAGACACAGTGCTATCAAGCTATCTCCAGCCACGACAGCATGAGTTTGATATCCCTGGCCAAGGAGGTGACCCATAGGGTGTACCACACCTCTCCTGTCTCGCCCGCTGCTCCCCTCAGCAGTGTATGTCAGTAGATCTGCCTGCTCTGCTCCCTACTCTCTCTCGTGAATCCTCTCACCACCCGCACCTCTGGTCTACACCCCAGTTCTCGTATGCATAAAATACATAAATCTTAAAAAAGAAAGAAAGAAAGCTGAGGCTCAAGCAGGGGAAGCTTGCCCAGGTTACAGTGTTTTTGAGTCAGAGAACCAGATCTCCAATATCTACACTCAAAACAATCTACACTCAAACGATGATGGTGACGAAGAAGAGGCTAATGTGTACACATCTGCTGGCTAAGTCACACCGAAAAATTCTGCGAGCTCCTTGCACTACACATCTCCCCAGTTCCTGGGGAGAAGGATCTCACCCCCATTTATGGCAACTTCGTTGTCAGAGTGCTCCAGGATTCTGATACCCCAGAATCTATCAGTCGGGAGTTGGGGCTAGTGGAGACCAGGCCAGCTCTGTCTGCATCTGGAGCCCTTGCTCCCTCCCCCCACCCGCCCCTTCCACTGTGAACACGGGAGAGGCAGACTGCTGAGTTCCAGTCCTGGACACCCTCATACCCATCAGGTGCCTCCCATCCCCTCAGCCTGGGTGGTTCTTAGCACTGGGGCTGCCTGAATGGGAGAGAGGAAGTAGAGGAGGGGGAGGAGGGAGGAGGGTGGAGGTGGGGAGGGAGCACAGGCTCTGCTCCTATTGACAGGACCGGCAGCATCAAGGGGAACCACGCCTCCCCCACCTATACTTGTGGAGGGACATTTTCTCATCTCACCGGTCATAGTCGCCATTGCAGAGCGCTCTCACAGGAATGGAGAACGTTTGCCAGACTGGGTTTAGGGTGTTCTTCATGACCTCGGTTTTGTGGCAGATGGTGAACCTGGTAAAGAAAGGAAAGTTGTCAGGCCCGAATCCAAGTGAGGCAGAATCCAGGGAGCGGGGGACCTCCCTGGTGGTGCAAGGGGTGAAGCATCAGCACTATGAAGCTGTCTGCAGCCACTGCAGCACGAGTTCAATCCCCGGCCAGGGAGGTGACCCACATGGCACAGCAGACCTCTCCTGACTCCCCGATGCTCCCCTCAGCAGTGTATTTTGGTCAATCTGCCTGTTCTGCTCCCCACCTTGTCTCTGGTGAATCCTGTCTCCCCCCACACCTCTGGCCTGTACCCCAGCTCTTGTATGCATAAATAAATAAATCTTAAAAAAAACAGAGGGAACAGTTAGTGAACCCCCATAGTTGCCAGACAGTGGACACTGTGGCCTTAGGAGGAGATGGCTGCCTGTCACTAGCAGCGTCTGTTTCCTGGGGAGGCTGAGGAAGGGCTCCCTGCTCCAGGGGGCTGTCAGGACACAGGGTTCTTCTTTGCAACCCTTTCCTCACAGGTAATCGCAGGGAGGTGGCCATTATCAGACATTCTTCAATTGCTATCCATGGAAGGACCTGAGGGTGAGCGCTAGGGGCCTATGAGCCATGGAAATCACAGGTCAGATTGAGAGTTGACTCTCATATGTTTGCTGTCCCTCCCCACCTGGAATATTCTCCCCAGATTCCACATTCACAGCTCACCTCAGGTCTTTACTCCAGTGTCACCTCCTTGATGTGAGGATCTCCCCTGAGCACATTATCTAGAAGTTACAATTTCCTGCTCCCTTGGCCCTGAATACCACATGTGCCCTCCACACTTCACCTCTACTGTCTGACATTTAACATCGTCTATTTTTCTCCTTAGCTCCTTTTTGGTCTGTCGCTAAAACCTCAGCTCCTGGAAGGGAAGGACTTTGGTCTTCTCAATCACTGGTCTAGCTCCAATACCCAGAACAGTGTCTGGCAAATACTATATATTTTTTTTTTTGGAAGAACTAATGAATAAATGTGTCTCTCAGGAGAGGGACCCATAGCTTTCACTGGCATTTCATATCAGTGAAATTCAAGTCCCTGGTTTAAATGACCTCTAAGACCCTTACAGAAATTCCAGTCTAAATCCATGAGCTTGTTTTTGCAACTGAAAATGCAGAATTGGCTTACCCTAGCTGGGCCCCCATCCAGCTTCCCTGCCCACCCTCTATACCCTCCCGGGCTGGCCCCTTCCTGGAAGTTGGCCACAAGGAGGGGCAGCAGGGAGCCAGGGTGGAGCTGGGGCAAGGGTCACCCCCTAAGATTTCCAGCATCCACCCCAGCTACCTCATGGCTTGGAAAGGTCAGCCAGGAAAGTGCCTGGGCTCCACCCAGGCCCACACAGCCTGTGCCATTTCTTCTCTGGCAATTTTCAAGTCAAAATGTCATTCCTGTCACTTCGGCTCAGCATTTCTCTTTTCTGCTCCTTCTCGCCCACCCACTGGAGTGTGGAGATATATGTGGGAGACCTCCCCCGAGGCCCCAGAGCTGGTGATGAGGAATGGAGATGGGAAGAGCAGGGGCAGCAGCCGCCCCTGCCTAGGGCAGGCAGGTAGGGCAGGAGAGGGGGTGGGCAGTGGCAGGAAGGAGAATTAGGAACAGCAACTGGGCGGTGAAGGCAGCAGGCCACACTGCTCAGAAGACCTTTTGAGCTTCAGAGACCCTCTCCTGCCTATGCAGGGGGACTTGCCCCAGCTCTCCACTTCTGGAACCACTGTTTCTCTCTACTGTCTCTTGCCAGCTAAACTTTTAAACCAGGTCTTCTGAGCTATTAACCCAATTTCCTCCCTACTTGTTTCTCTCTGAGCCCTGGGTAATTGGGTTTCTGCTTCAGACTCTTATCTGAAACTACTTTCTTTACGTTACTCCTCAGTCCCAACATCAAATCCACAGGCCCTTAAATCCCTGCTACACGCACCTTGCACAGGCCCTAGTGTGGAAATGGTCTCTGTGGTCATCTCACTGCTCAGCTTGGTCCACGTCAACACACACGCAGTGTGAATGAGGGGTGTTAACTGACAGGCTCAGGCAGATGTGGGCTCAGTCCCAGGACTACTGCTCATCAGCTGTGCAGCCCTGAGCAAATGACTTTCCCTCTCCGAGCATCCCTCCCATTGTAAAATGGAGTAAGAACAGTAGCTCACTTGGCCATTCGAATTCCACATATTAACTCATTTACTCCTCAAGGCCACCCTTGAGGGAGGTGTTATGATTATCCGCATTGTACATAGCAAGCAACTGAGAAGCAGAGGTTATGACTGCACTGTCCAGATGTGGCTATTGACATTTAAATTAAATGAAATTAAAAATTCAGTTCTTCAGTCTCACTAGCTCCATTTTGAGTGTTCAGTAGCTACATGTGGCTAATGGCCACCAGGCTGGACAGCGAGATGCAGAGCATTTTCATCACTCCAGAAAGTTCCACTGGGGTTAGTGACTTGCCTAAAGTTACACAGCTAATAAGAGCAGCGACAGGCAGGGCCCAGCAGGCAGACTGACGGAGCCCTGCTCTCCATCATCACGTTTTTACTCCCAGATGAGTTCTTTGCATTGAACACTACCAGGGAGGGGCGCCAGCAGCAGAAGCCTCCTTCCTTTCTCCTCCCTGCTGCTGCTGGTGTGGCTGGCCAGACATTTCATTCCCCACTCCCTCCCTCACCTTCTTCTTGCCCTTTTCCTAACTGGGGGTGTCTCCCAAACTTGCCGTTCTTCTCTCCTCCACCCTCAGTGACCACCCTGCTCTCACCAGTTCAGCCTCACCTGTGCACCCACCTGTCAGCAAGTGCCCACACACTGGCCCACCTCTTGGGAAACCCCGGGGTCGGCTTTTCTAGCTGCCCTAGGTGTCCCCCACAAACAGGTCCAGGCTTGAAGTGAAACTCACCCCCCAAATAAACTCCTTCCACCTCCTCCTTGCCCATTTTGAACACACTGGTCCCCACAGCACCTCTCCTAGGGTAGGGGCCGTGACTGTGATCCCCACCCAAGTTTGGCCAAGGGAGGTCTCCCGGCTGCACTGTCCTTTTGCCCCACTGTCCTTTAGTCTCTCCCCACTACCTCCCCTGCATTTCCACAGCTCAGCTCCCCCGGTGCTCGGAGCCTCCCACCTGCTCACCGTGTCAGTCACGCAAGTCTCTCCCTTTCCCCACCCCCTCCCATCCATCCTACACATCGCTCTGCTAGAACAATCACTGGCAACACACCCCTCTCCTGCTCCAAAATCCGAATCCCTCCCTCCTCCTGGCCATCGGCCTTCACCTCAGAGACAAGCCTGGTGCCATCCTACCCTCTTCTCTGAAGGGGGCCTGTGCGGACGTACCGTGGGCGCCCAGAAAATGGCTCAGGCCTTTTCCTCCCTCCCTCAAGACCATCAACGTCAACAAGAATTATTTAAAGAAATCCTGCTGGGAGTCCTTTGGTGAGACAAAGAATCCTTTTGTTATGCAAATGATCACACCTAATTTCCCTTGTTTTGTACTTTCAGGTTTAAAATTCAGTTTCCCCTTGAACTGAAACATACCTCCTCCCTGCTGCTCCCCTGCCCCCAAACTCTCTCTCTCTCTCTCTCACACACACACACACACACACACACACTCATGCACACTCACACATGCACTTCACACATGCACATACAAGACACACACACACTCTTGCTCACACATATGCATTCACTCTTTCAAACACGTTCACACCTACATACATACTTGCACACGCGAGTGCATACACACACACACAGAATTTCAGGAGCAAGGGGAACTTGGTTCTTCCTGCCCTTTGCTCAGGCCACACTTGCTCTGCATATGTCATCCATTCTCCAGCCTATTCTTCCCTGCTCCTCCCCCATGGACCCATTCTCTTCCTCTCCTTCAAATCCTGCTTCCAAGTTCCCCTTCTCCAGCAGCGGTTCTCTAATTAACCTCCTTGGCCCCATCACTTCCTCATTCTGCAGAATCCCAGCTGTAAGTGGCAGCAGCCTCCCAGAGCCGTGGTGCTTAAAGAGACCGTGGAGGCCACCTAATCCAACTGATTTACTTTTCTGATGAGAAAACAGGCCCAAAGAGGAAGCATAACTTTGCGTGGTCACACAGCTGGTTGGTAGGGAGGCCCTCAGTCCCCAGACCCTCAACCCAGAATCTGGCCCTCTGTGTGCATTGCTGACCTACATTTACCAACATGCTGTGTGTGTTTCTATCACACTGTGGGTGGCTTCTAGATTAGGGAGAGGAGAGGAGGAAACGGGGGGCTTCAAAGACATTGGAGTTTTGAATGAAGACTATGGTAGTGTGCTGGGGCCAGGAAAAGGGTGATTTTCCAAGCCTAGTGTCAGTAGTGATGTGTGGTAGTGGGGTGTTCAGAGGGCTGTGGGTGCAGAAGAATGGCTTGGAGATATGATTTGTGTGGAAGGAAAGAAAGAGCTGTCAGAGGGGTCCCTCAATCTTGCCTTAGCCCTGTTTTTGCCCACTCCCCCCACCTCCAGTGTATCTAGCACCCCCCATTGTTGAGGCCCTTAGAATGACGCTGTTGGCTTAGAGGCTGCCTCCACCCACACTGGCCCTATCCATGTGTTCAGGGTGATGCACAAGCCCCAGACTTCCTCCAGGTGTCCCTGCGCTCTCTGGAGCAGGGGCTGAGGGCAGAACCAAGAGGAGGGAGGTCCAAGCCTCTGTGCCCTGCAGGTCATCCCAACCTGTTGTCCAGCCCTGAACCCAGAAAGGGGGTGAAGTTTGCTGAAGAACTCACGTTCCGTCCTCGTTGCTTCTGTAGAACACCAAGAAGGGGTCAGACTTCCCAAAGAAATCCTTCTTGTCCAGCTTATTGGCGCAGAACTGCATTGTGGCCACATCCTAGAAAGAGGGGAGGAGGGAGAAAGAACAGGGATGTGAAGCAGAGGGCACCATGATTCCTGTGGAAACAGCCCCAGGACCCTGGGAAACATGAGGATTCCAGGTACAAGCTTGGTTAGAAGGGACAGCTCAGGCTAACAGCAGGTCCTGGGCTAACACTGGAGCGTCTCATTCCATCTTCAACCCACCCCACCCGGCAGATCTAGTAGAGCAGTTGGTTGGTGAAGCAGGTTAACTCTGGAACTGGGTGTCCCAGTTTGAACCCTGGCTCTCTCACTTTCTAGCTGTGTGATCTCCAGCAAAAGAGGCAAACTGCTTGGAGCCTCAGTTTCCCCTCTGTAACATGGGGCTGATTACAGTACACACCCCAAAGTGTCCTTGTGAGGGTTAAGCGAGACCAAGTGTGTGAAGTACTTAGCAAAGGGCAGGCATGTAACGTGGTGAATGTTAACACACATAATCCTATGACTATTTCACTGAGTGGCTTAGCGAGGTGAAATGACTAAGCCAGGGCCACCCTGAGCTTGGTCAGCCAACCCCAAAGCCCTTGTGCTGTCCACATCACCTCACTCCCTCACATATGTGTGTCTCTTAGAGGACATTCAAGTTTAGGCATCATTCACATCCGCTAACTCACAAGAGGTCCACCCAACTCTGCAAGGTAGATATGGCTGGGACCAGGACCCATTTTACAGTTGAGAAGGCTGAGGCACAGACCAGGGAGCAACTCCCCCACAAATTCACCAAGCAGAATTCTAGGTTCCTGCCTCCCCTTGTTCCCCCTGACCAATTCACAGGCCCGGTGACCAAGAACACAGAGAAATACCCAGATCCTGATGAGGACTGCCGGGCCCTTCTCTTCATGTGGCCTCCAGCCCCTCAACTCACTGTACCTGACAGATGCCCTCCTATTCTCTTCTCCACCCATCCCCATATGGTCTCTTCCACCTGGAAGATCAGCATCCTGAAAGATCAGCAGGCCAGCACCTGGCCTGCCCTCAAGGGCCCATTTGAAAGTCACTCAGCTCTTCCATGATGCCCCCTTCCTCTTCATGAGGAAGAGTATCTCTTGAGACCTGTGTCTAAAAGATCCATGAAGCCCAAAATGGTGGTCAAGATGAAGATGCAATTTCCCATAAACTTGAAAAACAAAACCAAGGTTGGGGATGCAGGGTGGGTGTGACTAATCCTTAGGAACATGGTGGCTAGAACCAGCTGCCTGCTTTAGCTCTGTCCCTTACTAGCTGCGTGACCCAGGACAAGTTGCTCACCCTCTTTATTTTTTTTTTAAGATTTATTTACTTATGCAGGGGGTGAGAGGATTCACCAGAGACAGAGTGGGGAACAGAACAGGCAGATCTACTGAAACACACTGCTGAGGGGAGCAGCGGGCAAGGCAAGAGAGGTCTGCTGCGCCATGTGGGTCACCTCCCTGGCCAGCCTGGGATCGAACTCGTGCTGCAGAGGCTGTGGATAGCTTCACGGTGCTGTGCTTAACCCCTTGTGCCACCAGGGAGGGCCCTGTTGCTGACCCTCTTGTACTCAGTTCCCTTATCTGTAAAATGAAGTAATGGCAGTGCCTACTCAGTCTTCTTGTGGGGATGTAATGAGTTCCTACCACGTCAGCACCGAAAATGGTATATGGGCTCACTAAGTGCTGTGTGCGTGATTATCTTTGGAAAGTCCCATCCCTTCTTGGTGTCTTGGTGTCCCTGTTCTACCCCCACCTCCCAAACCTTATTTGTCTTCCTTCAGGGACATCTGATGGCAGCAAATACAGAGCACCCCTCCATTCACTCATTCATTCATTCAACAAACATTTATTAGATACCATCTGTGTAGACCAGATACTGAGCTCCACAATTTATATCCTCATCATATTTGGCTCTCAAAATAATCCTTTGACGCTTTTTACAAATGAGGAAGCTGGAGGTTGGCAAGTTTAGGTAACCTGCCCCCAGATCACCAGCTGGTAACTGGTTGAGTGGAAAGCAAATATGTATGAGCTGATTTCAAAGTCACGCCTCTTGCAGCACACCAGCCTGGCTCCCTGCATTTCACGCATCCCCTTCCCTTTGTGCTGAAGGCTCTGGGCATGTGTGTGCAGGGAGGGGATGGACAGGTTAGCCTGGGCTGGAAGTGTCTGCTGAAGCAGGCTGGGAGAAGGTGGCGCTGAGGTCCAAAGGCCAACACACACAGGTGCCCAGGTAACCACAGACCCTCATCATGACTCCCGTAAAAGGGAGAAGGAGGCTGGACCGGGGGCTTCCAAGACCTACAGGTCCCAGGAATCCTAGAGCCTCCAGAGAAATCTAGGACTTCAGACCTGGAATTAGAATGGCTGACTGATGCAGCACTGACTAGACGACAGGCCTTGTCTGTGCACGGATTATTTCACTGAATCCTCATAACAGCCACATACAGTAACTTCTAGTCTCCCCATTTTACTGATAAGGAAACAGGCTTTTAGAGGTTGCCCATGCCCAAGGTCACACCGTGACCCAGGCAGACAGACTTCAGGGTTTTCCCTTTCACCCTCCCAGCATCAGGACAGGCACTGTCACTCCCTAGTTCCAACCCATCTATGCTGGATGGGGAGCTCCATCCCTCCAGAAAAGGGAAGAGGCTCAGGGCCTGGTGGGCTCCTCCCAGCACTGGCTATATAGCTTGTGGAGCCCAGTCAAAGGGAAAGCGTGGGGTTTCAAAGCAGTGACAGCAGAGCGCTAAGCTCAGCACAGGCCGGCCCCATGTGATGGCACAGGCCTTATGCCCATGAAACTGGTCCTGGCTCTTCCCATGGAGATGACCAGCAGTGGCATCAGAAAACCACTGAGAGAGGAGCAGGCTCTGCTGAGGAGAGAAGTGGGGACAGGCTTGGCCAGGGACCCTCAGTTCTGAGTTCTTGTCAGTCTCAGTGTTCCTCAAGCCCTCTGTGCCTCAGTTTCCTTGTCTGCTAAGTGACAAGTTGGACAGGATGACCGCCACTGTCCTTCTAAGCTGGGAAGGACACTGCACAGAGCACATGGGACAGAGCGATAGCCTAGAAAGGTACACGTTCAGGGAACAGCCTGGGAATATCCAGGGTCTCTCCAGCCTCCCTAGAACAAGGCTTGGTTGTTATCACTGTGACCTCTCATAACTCTGGAGGTCATCTGTGTGACACCCTCACTTGAGCAAACACAGGAAAGCTGCACCAGACAACTTGCACTGCTTGACTATAAAATACACAGATGGATTTGAAATAACTGAAACAGATGCCACAAAATCTGGGTGCAAAAAGCTCTTCTTTTTGCCTCCTTGGGGCTCTGCGGTAGGATTACTAGAAAATATTCATGCAAGAACATAATATGCCATAACGTCCAAGGTCATTCAGTGACCCCACACAGGACCTGACAGTCCAATGAACTGCAGTCACCTGGTCAGACCCCAGCTCTGCCCTCCACGCAGCCTGGGGCAAATGACTTAACTGAAGTCCTGACGTTCTCCTCTGGTAAATGGAGTAATAACCCCAGATAAGCCTTTGGAGAAAACTAAAGGAGATGGCATATGTGCAGCGTCTGTCCACAGCGTCTAGCGCAGAGCTAAGAGCGCCACCTTTCACCAGGCATAAGATGTTGTCAATATTCAAAGAGAGTTCACCTACAAAAATGACAAGTGAATACAGTTCTACCTAATATGTGCAAGGCACTACTTTTTTTTTTTTTGAAGATTTATTTATTTGTGCATATAGGAGCTGGGTGCAGGCTAGAAGTGCAGGGGGTAAGAGGATTCATCAGCCACAGAGTGGGGAGCAGAACAGGCAGATCTCCTGAAATACACTGCCAAGGGGAGCAGCGGGCAAGTCAGGGGAATAGCGGGCGAGTTAGGAGAGGTCTGCTGCGCCATGTGGGTAGCTCCCTGGCCAGGGTTGGAACTTGTGCTTCAGTGGCTGCAGACAGCTTCATAGTGCTGAGACTTAACCCCTTGCGCCACCAGGGAGGCCTGGCACTACTTTTATACCTATTAATTCAGTTAATACTCTCAACAACCCATGAGATAGGTACTATTACTATTCTTCCCATTTTAAAGATGAGGAAACTAAGGCACAGAGAGATTAACATCTTGCTTATGCTACTTTAGTAATAGCTGGAATTGGAATGATACAGTCTGGCTGCAAAGATTAATAACTGAAATTCCAAATGATGATCTTGGATCATCAAGATAAATTTAATTATGTTCTGGAGTCTTGGTTTGAGAAGTCAGAGAAGTGTGAAATTCATTTTAGAAAGACCTCTGTGCAAACTAGTTAAAATTAAAAAAAAAAAAAAAAAAAAAGGACTGGCTCTGAAATTCAGCTAACTGGAAAAATCAACCAGTGAGTCACACCTCATTTTCCTGCGGATGGTACAAATGCTGGGGGCTTTTTTGTGGCTCAACCTGATCTGCCCTCCAAAACACAATCTAGACAAGAACATTAGCCAAAAGTCCATTATCATAATCATTATTGTGGCACTGTCGAAACCACGGGGATAAGACAAAACTTCAGAGAGATCTGTAGCTCTAACCAAGGCAAACTTCTTTCTTAATGGGTGTGCACCCCCTAGGGCGTCCTCCAGACAAGGTAGTGTAGTTGTCTAAGGCTGTCCTTTAGAAGGTGGCTCTGACTTTATGTCAATAGTCATATGAACAAGACTTTGGCTAATGTCTTTAAATCAGGATTAGTGAGTGGATCAAACCCGATATATAATGACCCCAGGAAGAGGCTGGGGCAATGGCCCTAAGGTGGAGTTGGCCAGCAGGATTAAGGGCACTGCAGGTTCTGCCCAGGGTCAGAAGTAGCAGTTTGACAGCCTTAGTCTGGGAGTGGGTAGTCCTCTGAACACATGAAATGCTGTGCCCAAACCAGAAGCATCTCTGGAACCAACTGTGGAGAAGATAAAGTAGCTCCTGCAATATAGAATTTCCTGCAATTTCTGCCTTTTCACCCTGTCTTTTTTAAAAAACATTAAGTTCTTCTAAAA